CCAGGGGAGCACTCACCGGTGTGTGGCGCTGCCCCAGCCTCCTCCGCGCCCCAGGCAGGGGCTGGTCCTTGCACAGCAGGATGGGTTTCTGGGGGGGAGCCCCCAGCACTTCTTTTACCCCCCCGGGTACACGGAGGGCGGTTTCTGGTCCCTCTCGGGTGGGTTTGTGGGGGGGGCACCGCCAGGCTACAACTCTCACAGGCCCGGCCGGAACCGGAAACCTCCCTCCCCAACCAAAAGCTCCGTTCCCTTTCCTGCCCTCTCCTCTCCTCCCCTTTCCTACCCACAAGCCACCGCGAAATCGCTTCGCCGCCCGCATCCCCTCTTTGCAACGTCGCTTCCCAGAACCCTTCGCGCGGTCAACTTGCCCTCCCCCGCTTCCCCCCTCCCTCTACCCATAAGTCCTTGCGGGAGCTGGTTGATCTTCTCTTCTCGCGCCTGCTCGGGCGCGTAATTGTCCTCTTGTAATTCCGCGCCGTGCAAAGCAGGGACCGCGCTCAAAGAATGTGAAGCCCGGCAGCTCTGGCAGAGTCACCAGTGTTTTCAGAAGCAGCGCTTCTGTGTCCTTAATAGGTTTCCTACCGGTAGAATTTAAGCAGGGGAAGATTTTCCTGGCAAGATGATAAAACCATGGGAAGCGAAGGATCTTGGATTTCAGTCCGGCCGAGCAACTTGTTCTAGGCACAAGAATGGGTGATCGAGATGAAAGAAGGATAAACACGGGCGGCACCAGGAATCTAGGGAGTTGTACTATGGAGGATTAATATGAGAGAGACATTAGCTTTAGGATTATCAGTGGGGGGTTTGTAGGAATATTGTGGGACATGACTGGCAATAAAATGTTGATCTTTTCCTTTTGGGTGGGGTGCTACAAACTACCGTGTTTCCCTGAAAATAAGACAGGGTTTAACATTAATTTTTGCTCTAAAAATCGCATTAGGGCTTATTTTAGGGGATGTCTTATTTTTTTAATGTACGACAGTCTAAATTTATTCTAATACACAGTCATGTCATCTGGTTGCTGCACAATGATGGAGGGCAGGGTTTCACTTAACGGGGGCTTATTTTGGGAGGTAAGGCTTATATTACAAGCACCCTGAAAAATCATACTAGGGCTTATTTCAGGTTGGGTCTTATTTTCGGGGAAACAGTATATGCCATCTTCATACTACTGTTGCACTAACATTTCATGCATGCAGAATTAACACTTTAGTTCATACTTGCTTGACAGAATATACTAAAGATGCAGGGTACCACACAATCATACACATGCACCTTATTTCGTGAATATACCCTGCTTCACAGACCGGTAATTTCAAAGTGAAGTGCACAGGGCAGCCAAATTCTTTTCTTGGCAAATGGATTAATATTTTTCATTCCGAAATATCAATTCTGTCTGAATTTTATGAGCATCAGGCCCTAACTGCCTTTTTGATTCTTGCTCTGTACTATCAAGCATGAACTGCAAAGGTATGAAGAACAGTATAGAGACAAACTGCCTTACTTCACAAAAGTTTCGACAAAGAAACAGAATTTAGTAAAATATAACTACAGTATCTGGTTTACACTTGCTTCAGTGCTTACTACAGTATGCTGCAAACTGGAAAGCAATGGGGGAAAGAGTGACATTGTAGCATGGGTGCACTGTGGCCTACTACTCCATGTGGTTGGGCAAACTGTAACAAAGATGCCACTAACTGAACTGGTGACTTAAAAAATTGCATTAAATAACATGGCACATATTGATAGAACAAATCCCACAATCCTACTGTGCATAATCACTGCCCCTCAGGACAATACCTTTCACTGACACCCCTCTTCTGGAATTAGCAGAATGACAACTTTTATATCTGGAAATCACAACACCACTGACTGGCAGGTTAACTCTGATCACATGGAAGCTCACTGGAGAGTCCATTTAATAAAATTGATACATGCTGAATGCTTTTGAGTTTATGAAAAATGTCTTCTCTGAAAGTAATGGTTTTAGTGGGTTTTTTTGTGCTGGGATTGGTTTGCTTGATTTTATACTGTAATTAAATTTGGTTTTACTTGTTTTTATTCTTTCACAAAGCTTGTTCACAACATAGAACACTGTTTTTAGTGGACAAATGAGCTATAAATAAATAATTTAAAATATTTTTAAAGTAGGAAAATAAAATTGGAGATACTGTATAGAAGTACTTTGTGCTGTTCTCTTCTGACAATTATTCATGAAGATGCAATTCTGGGTGTTCCAGTGAAATTCTGCCTTATAAACCATAGGTGTCTATGTGCATGACATCCAGGCAGGGACCATGGCACCCTCTCTTTTTAGAAATAAAAATACACATATTATGGCTTCCAATCTTTCTGTATCCAGAAATACAGTACAGTTGGGAGGGTATGTATTTATTTGTTACCTTTCCTCCAAAAACTGGAATCTTAGGGCATTTTACACAATTTATTGAAACATTTTCTACAGAGCTAAATACTGTAAGCACTGAAGCCAATTGTTTGACTAGAGTAGACCCATTGAATGGATAAGATTTTGTCAAGGAATAGACCTTTTAGTTCTGAAATAAGAAAAATCTCATTGGTATAGCTCTCCTTTTTTTGTCTTTCTTATTTGGGAGAGTGGGAGTAGACAGGAGTAAAGATTCGTTCCTCCACCATTAGCTCCATGACACCCCTTCTCTGTAGCTTTAAGACCTAAATCCCATGAACATATTTGTCACTTCATGAGTGCAGCAGTAACATAGCATTCGTCAATGCCTACAGAAAGAACTTCAGCATCACCTCAGCTCAAATACAATGGCCAAAATCCTCTTGATGAGACAGATTTCCCCTAACTAGGTATTTTCCTCTGCTGCTCCAGTAAACACTGTTCCCTACCATGTAAAGTGGCACACTTTCAGGTATAATGGTCCTTGTGGTGTCAGATGTGATGTTGCAAAAAGTACAGTACCATAGGACTACTTACATCTCTTTAATTGGCTTCAACTTTCCTGCAATGAAACCCAAAAGAACCAAAACCAAGAGACAATATTTAGGAGAAGGTGTGGATTGAACCAGTTGTTTTACAGATGCCCCAGGCCATATTCCCTCAGGGAAAAATAATACTTATAGAGTACTAGACAGAAATAACTCCAGAATACAACCACCATAAATTATGACCCTTCTTTTTACAGGTTCATATCCCTGTATGGCTAAAAGAAATAAGAGATACAGAGATTCAACTGTGTGCTTTCATTTAATCCTTCTGCAGCCGCCTTCAGCAGCCAAGGCCATGAAGGCCTTTCTTAACAAAGACTCTGCTTGTAACAACCCAACTGAGCGCTCAAGGTGGTCTCCATGGCAACAAAGATAACTTGGAGGCCTGGGCATACAAGAGAGCCCTGGAGATAGTTCAAGGCAAAAGCCTAGCTCCATTCCTCCCACTCTTATGCGGTTTGCAGAGGGAGGGAGGGAGGGAGGGAAAGCAAGGCAAAGGTGGGGAGATGGAGCTCTTTTGATGGAAAGAGAGTGAATATTGTGGGACAAAAAAAAAGTCAGTGAAATAAGGCACCATATCTTACAATGCTAGTCAGGCCTTCAGTGGAACATACAATTTTAATTTGGCGATTGTGGGGCAGAAAAACAGCTGGGGTATAGCTTCTGTGGAACCATGTGCGGTCTCTCTCTCATATATATATGCTATCTACTAGAGAAGGAAAGGCGTACAGGGGGGTGTTGCTTGATTATTCACCAGCTCAGTCTGAACTTTCCGCCAGTGCCATCTGTAGTACTCCACCACTGGAAAGGGATGTATGTAATTTTTCAGAGAAGTCATTTATATATTCATTCCTTACAAGAAATCAGAAATAACCTCATGATGACTAAGACAGTCAGGGTGGGTAGACTGCTGAATATAGGCACTTCTTCATTTGCACTCATTAGTTCTCCCACACAATCCTACAGATACTTAGAGATCTTTCCTCTGTCACACAAATATTGTCTCTGTTCCCTTTCTGAAAACTTAGGCTTTTTGATACAAGAGCAATTTTGGATATGCAAGAAATGCTGCCCATCAAAAGAAGGGGTTAAGAATGAAGCAAATAGCTCTTCATCCCATGACGACTGTGTGGGCTATATAATCTCATTGATCTGATGTTTTAAAAAGAGGGTATCCATATACATTTTGTCTGATGGAATGATCTGCTCCAGTCAGGGCCACAGAACAAATACAACTACTTCTCCTTTCTATTGACGCTGCGGAGACATTAATAATGTGACCCATTAATATGGCTTGAACCCTCTGTAGACAAACCACTTATAACCAGTTCATGTGAAGAGTGCTCCAGCTCACGAACCATGACTCTCCTTACACAGTTGCAACCCAGGGGGCTTTCTCTGTTTCTTGTTCATGCAAAGGCAATCTTGGTTAAAAAAAAAATAACCAGAAAGGATTCAGTGCATATTCATAGAGGAAATGGTGATTCAACTTGCTGTGGTGGTTGCAAGAAAACAACCAAAGGCCCATTAGTTATTTCTAAATGAACAGAATACTGTACAAGGGTTTGACCTTGTATATGGATCACTGAATGTTTGCTGTGCAGTTGTGTGTCTGGGTGAGATTTAAAGTTCATATCAAGTGCAAGAGCAGAAAAGGAGGAGGACATGTCCAAATGATTATATACAAATCATATGCATCATCTCTCAATACAGTATATGCAAACTATACATGTTTAGCTTACATCATATTCTACTGTGATCTCAGCTCTGCAGGAATTGCCTTTCTTAGACTCTTAACCATTTCTTGTATCAAAAAGCTAAGCATTTTAATAGAAGTAGTGGAGAATCCAGCAACATGGTCACTTTGCCCCACATCAGAAAGCCAAGGTGAATCACCCTCCATCAGCAGCATGCATACAGTGGACTTCATACTGAAAGAGATGTTTTGCTTTTGGTCAGGAAAGCAGCCTTCAAGATTTAACACAGGGATTTGCAAGCAAGCATTGGCAAAGCTGGGGTTCCTCCTTTATTCCTTGCCTCATATACATCTTGAGTGAGCCAGGACTCAGTTCAACAACACCAGTCATCCAAAACAGCCATGTTCTTTGCAATAACGACCAACTGCTGAAAACAGCATGGGTCCATGTAAACCTATTCTGTAGATTAGAAACTAATCCCTCTGTTAGTCCAATATTAAGAGGAAAAATAAGGAACTATTTGCCTGATTACAAATGTTGAGTGGTAACTCTATACTGCAAACGTAACCCCAATTAACTGATATATGTCCTTCTCCCACTACAATGTACTGTGAGAACTGTAGTTTTTGTGAAGGGTCTAGGAACTCCTAACAGAATTGGAAACAATCTTCCTAAACAATATATCTGCCATCATTCTTTAGATAAATTTTACCATGATGAAGTTTGCAGGGCAACCATAATAAGGAACTATTTGCCTGATTACAAATGTCGAGTGGTAACTCTATACTACAAACGTAACCCCAATTAACTGATATATCTTCTCCCACTACAATGGACTGTGAGAACTGTAGTTTTGTGAAGGGTCTAGTAACTCCTAACAGAATTGGGAACAATCTTCCTAAACAATGTATCTGCCACCATTCTTCAGATATATTTTACCATGGTGAAGTTTGCAGGGCAACCATCGTGCTAGCACATAGCCTCTTCTCATTCACTGCCAGAATCTTGCCTTTCTGAACATATGTGGTACCGTGGATCAGGTGATGACCTAATTTGCTTTAAGGGATGCTGTGACTGGATGAACAATATACTTCCAAACTGTAATTCATCTTTACCAGGAAGAAAGTGGGAGAAAACAATTATAATAACAGACCACTTCTGTTTTGCATATGTTAATTCACTGAAATGTTTGCAAAATTAAAATGCAAAGACTCTTACAGAAGATCACTAAATATCAACATTTAGTTTGGTAGAGTTGCAAGAGGAATTTCTCCATTCCTGCCACACCTCTGGATAGCATAATACAGTTGTTCACAGGAGCAGACAATTGTGATTTCCTGTCCACCAACAGTCTTTGGTGATGCCCACGCATTAACATTTCAAGGCTTATAACATTCTCTAGGGCTGGGTGTGATCCTTATTTTCATGCCTTTCATCATGGAAAAAGTCTCAATGCAATTACAAAAGTTGCAAGTCCCTATAAATAGTTTCAAACCAAGCTTCACTTCCCAGTTTTCCTCTGTAGCTCATGTCCCCTGGTGTTACATATTTATGGGGGTTGGTTCACGGGTGTGTCTTTGTCTTGGATAGGCTCCCCCCTGTCTTGTAGATATGTCGTGGCTACAGGAGAGGTTTCTGTCCCACCTTCTGCAGTTTCCCCCCAGTGGCTTCCATCCCCTACCCAGTCCTCCACTGCTTCATTGGTCCAGCCACTCTCAAGCTCCTCAGACCCCCAGTCACCAGCTCCAGACACTACTTCCGATTCCCAGTCCCCCGCAGTAGTCCAACTGCCGCCACCCTCCTCAACGGAGCGCTGGTAGTAGGTCTCTCTGGCATGTTTGCGCTTGGCATGCCGGCGGAGGGTGTTGCGTTCTGTGAAGCGCAACCTGCAAATCTGGCACTGGTAGGGTTTCTCCCCTGTGTGGACTCGCTGATGGCGCAACAGCTCCCCAGATTCCCGGAAACCCTTGCGGCAGACTGGGCAGTTGAAGGGCCGTTCGCCAGTATGAATGTGCTTGTGTCGCTGAAGGTGCGAGGAACGTTTGAAGGCCTTGCCGCATTCACGGCACACGTACGGCTTGCTCTCCGAGTGAGTGATGCTATGGCGCTCTAGGTCTGATTGGTACAGGAACGTCCGTAGGCAAATGGGGCAGAAGTACAGCTGTCGTGGTGGTGGGGCCGAGGCCAGCAGCTCAGGCTCTGAGGATTGCATTTGCCCAGCAAGCTCCACCTCCTCTTGGGTAACTGTATGGGGCACCCCTTCGGCATCAATCAGCACCAGGGACCCCTCATCAGCTGCATCTCCTGACTGACCCGAACGCTTAGAATTAGGTGCAGAGGCCTGTGCATTGGCTCTCCCCCCTCTATGTTTGGTCAGTGCTGAATGTAGTTTTGGCCCCCACAGGGCAATGCTGTAGATCTCAGGATGGGAAGGTCTGTCTTCTATAGCCATATGGTTCTGGGGGATGTCACTGCTGAGCGAGTTCTGCGTATAGTGAGACCAAGGAACTGAGGGACAGGTTTCTATCACCTGGTTCTCAAGCCCAGTGCTGCCATGGTGTTCTGCTCTTGACCAACCAGTCCCACTTGGTACCAGCACCCGAGACTTTGTCTGTAGCTCTGCTGGATGCCCATCACCCCTCTCGACCTGCCACCTGTGAGATGGCTCCATTGGGCACCAGGAACAAGAGCTCGTTCCGCTACAGGGACATCGCTGCAGAGACGGGAGAACAGTGAGAAGAACAGAAAAGTCCACTGGGAAGCATTTCCCCACCCCAGAAATGCATCCTGTCACCTTGAGAGTATCATCACAATGACCGTTGCATTTCAAGCCATGAGAATACATGGAAAGTATTCATTTCAGATGAGTAGCTGCCTTCAGTAGGAAAAAAGCACAGTGGCATCAAAGACCAGGAATGTAACGTTAACTTGTAAGGAAGCCCTGTTGAATTCAGAGGGACTTGCTTTCAAGAAAACATCCATTAATGTCCTAAACATTATCAGAGAAGTTCAGCTCTTAATATTTTTACTAATAATAATTTCTCCAAAGTAAACCAAAATCTAAAATAAATAAATAAATAAGGCTGGTATGCATGCACACATGCACTCACTCACACAAACATCTCTCATTATGTGTTCAATTGCTTTTAAAATGTAAACTGAATTGTTGGAGTGCCTATGTATTCAAATTTGAGAGTAAGTCTGCCCAATTGCATATATTCCTTCATTTACACGTAAATATGCATGGGCTTCTCTATCTCCAAAAGCACATGTATGTACCAGTCTGTGAACAAAAACACATACACACAGACATTAAATATATGGGAAAAGCTACGTTATGTAGCATTCTTGTGATTTTTGTATGGAGGTATGTCAGCTGCATATGTGAATCTGGGCTACATTCACAAATGTTTGTGCCTATCCAATTCCTTTTCAACATTTATAACAAGGGATGGGCAAACACCAGCCCTCCAGATATGGTCAGATTCTATGAGTCCTAGCCAGCAAAACCTATTGTGTAAAAAAGCAAAGGAGTGCACCTGAATGCATGCAAATATAGTTTTGATCATGCTATGATTGATCATGCACATGAAGAGCAGGTGTTGTCCTGTAGAAGAGAACACCTCTATGGCGAGGGTGAAAGACAAGGGAAAGCAATGGTATGTGTGAAACATCTTGTGCTCCAGTATACATGTGTACATGTTATAATTCTCAACATTTACCATATTTTGGCAAGTAAACAGAAACATTTACAGACATTAAAGAACAAGGTTAGGATATTTTATTTTTTGACCAAAATTATACTTCTTACAGTAGCTTCAGGATTACTATCTACCCAAAGATGCAGTAGATGTCAGCTACAGAAACTCATTTGCTAGAAATTATATCATGTCATTGCTTAGAAATAGACCTGCATGTACTTAGAGACCAGCATAGCAGGTACCTCTTAATTATAGCATCCAAGAACTAAAATGTAGAGTTGGAAATCTATTCTAATCTGGCACCCATTTACAAACAGCTCTAGAAAATACCAAGCTGAATATTAACATTTCATTTTCCAGGTATCTATTAATAAATAACTGTATCCCAGCTTCTGCAAGTGCCCATTTGAAATGCAGTTATTCCAATTCTACTGATATGCTCAAAATACAGTACTACTAAATTTAGCACAAATTTGAAATTCAGTAATGTTCCAGATAATAACATTTTACAGATTTTACCTGTGAAATTTCACTTTGAGAATTAAATTAAAAAAATGAAAAAAATAAAAACTTAACCACGATTCCATTTAAAGCTTACTATGCCTCCAGATGCCAAATCCAGGTCTTTAATTATTTAAAATTGCTCCCCACCCCAAAAACAGAAGAAAACTGGCAGCATCCAATCTTGGAAATGTTGAAGGGGCAGAAATGAATGAGGACAGTGTAACGTAAAAATCTGGCAGGTGATCTGAATTTGGAAAAGACACCTCACACTGCCATGTGAGCACCTTCAGATTTATTTTTAATTCCACAGTCTACCGATCCTACAAGTTTCTAACACTAAAGAATGAGTGACAAATAGATGCAGAACTTCCAGCTCAACTTGTAGGACCAAATGCCCTGTCACAGCGCTAGAAAAATAACCAGTTTCATTGCTTAATCCGAATTTAGAGACTTTAGCTTCGGCCGAGTCAGGCCAGAATCTAGCAAGAAATTCTAGGAGGATCTTGAGTGCCCCACTTTCATGTGTTTAATATGAGATTGGTTTTGTCCTAAAGAAGACAGCACCTCTGGGCATGTGTCGAGTGCCACCCTCCTCCTCCTTCTCCTTCAGCTTTGACCACAAGCTTAGTTAGCCCTGGGGCATTTGCGCTGCAAAGACAAGACAGACGGGTTTTATTTTCAAAAAGAAATAAAGGGAAAAAATAAGGGAGGGGAAAGGGTTCTAAGCAGGCTGACTTCCCCGGCATCTTTGGAAAGAGCAGTAACCTAATGTGTGTTTGATTAAATTATCCCTCTCTATTATTACCCCTTAAACGCAAACCTTCTCCCTGAAGACAGCGGATACGGAGCAAGGCAATTCGCCCATCATCCATCTCCAATATCCGAGGCAAATGCTCCCTTCCTTCTTGAGCCTGCAGATGGGCACCCCACGCTTATTTAGCCTCTCCTCCCCTTCACGCCACCCCACTTCTTGCTCCAGGCTATACTGGAAACGGCGAGGATCGGAAGAGAGACAGAATGCTACCCACCCAATCCAGCAGAGATCGGCAGAGGCAGCAGCTATATTACCTGTTTTGCATTGTGATCTGCGGCAGCGGAGGGTTTCAATGGGCCGGCTGTGGGTGGGGAGAGGAGCTGAGCGTCCGGTGGGAAACCTCGCTCGCTCGCCGCCCGGCCGCTGCAGAACAAAAGAGCCTGGATGGCTGGCTGGCCGGCCTCCGAGGGGCATCCGGGAGGCGCTCGGACCCAGCGGAGAGGGCGATCCTTTCCACGCCAAGGCGGCTCCTCGGTCTTAGCGCCGTCCGATAAGCTTGCCTTACTGCCGGGATGCTGTGCAGACGCCGAGCGAACAACTCCGGGGTAGACCGGGCGGCGCTCGGAGGGGCGTCGTCCGCTGCCTGTGTCTTTAAGGAGGGCATCGAAGTGGAATTTTTTCTCCCGACGTGGCTTTTTCCACCACAAAAGGAAGAGATGAGGGGAAGAAGCGTTGAGCCGGGTTTTCTTTTCTGTTTCCATGAGAAGTCCCTGCAAATTCCTGTTGATTAAAAGCTCTTGGAAAGGGTGGAGGAAAATCTCGTTTTTTAAACTATGCCGTTTCACTTGCCAGCTTCATTCTCTGATCCTGACTGTGATTCATGCACCCGATGGGCTCTGGTCCAGGAAAGCTTTATGCTGCAACAACTGTGTCAGCCTTCTGGGTGCCACAAGTCTCTTTGTGTGGGTTTTCTCCTCATAACGCTTGGCAGACTGAGACTTCCACGTATGGCATCAGTGCTGCTGTTAAGGTCAGCTTTCCCACTGGAAAGACAGTGTGCCTTCGGGTCCTCAGGCGTTTAGAATTGCAACTGCCACAATCCCTCACCTGGACTAGGTAGCATGGAGCTAATAGGAGTTGTAGGCCAGAATTAAAATTATCCCGATGGTGTTTCCTTGCTTCATTCTATTCTATGCTGGTGAAAACTTCACCTGTTGAATTTCTGCTTGTAGAACAGCAGGTAAAAAACAAGCCTGGGCTTCTCCACATAGTGGTGTTGTTCCTCGTTGTTCTGGTATTTTGTTGTAGATCTGCATCCAAAGGGGGGGGAGTATTTGCTGTGGGATGTACCGGTCCCCCCCCAGTCTTGTTTGTCTGTACACATCTGGAATATCTCCCTAATGCCTCACTCCCAATATAGATTATTGGGGAATTGGCAGGAATGTTGCCAAATCTTAGGGTCTGAGTCCCTAGTCCTAGTCTCTATTAAAAATAAGCTGTTTTTCCCCCCAGAAAAAAAGAAAGGGTAGCTGGCTTCCAAGATGCAAGTCAAGTCCAAGTCATTGAAAAAAACAACAACCTTGAATCAAGTCTTAAGTCACCAGTGCGACTGAAGTCCAACTTGACAGAAAGTCCCACAACCCGAGTATCCATCTCTGGGAATTCGGCTTGTCAGTCATACATTTGCTAGGAGAAAAGGAAATGGGGATCTTAGTCTTCTTGTTTTGCCGTCAGAAAACATTTTATTTGTTTGGATGGGAGGAGAATGTGCCTCAGCTATTGAAATCTTTCAGTATCCATAACTGGAACTGCAGTCTCAACAGTGGAACTGCTTGGCATGAGCAGCCCTTTGGAGGAGGGTAAGAACTCTGCGTGGGGTCTGATGACCTTCGGCACGCCTAACATTAATCTGAAGGCTTTTATTTAAAGCTGTGCTCTTTCTGGTTGTTGTGGGTTTTTCGGGCTCTTTGGCCGTGTTCTGAAGGTTGTTCTTCCTAACGTTTCGCCAGTCTCTGTGGCCAGTATCCTCAGAGGACACAGAGACTGGCGAAATGTTAGGAAGAACAACCTTGAGAACATGGCCAAAGAGCCTGAAAAACCCACAACAACCATGAGGTCCCGGCCGTGAAAGCCTTCGCGAATACACTGTGCTCTTTCTATTTCTCCATAGCACCTCTACCTTCAATGTTTTAGAAAAGGGTGGACAACGTGCGGCCCCTGCCCACCCGCAGCCCCAAAGATCTCAGCCCTCCTAGGCCCCCCTTCCAGCCCCCACCCTACTCCACAAGTTAATTTGCTCTTCCTAGCAGCCTTTGAAATAGTCCATCTTTTAGCAGCTCAACATTTCATTTTTTCAAAACTGGAAATGAACTTCTACCTGTTTCTATTTCCTTTGTGTTCAGGTGTTTCTGGCATTCTGGGCATTCTGCACAACCCTCCAAAGATCCTGTGGGCACAAAGGTCGCTTCTGATGACGATGGTATTTTTATATTTAGCACCTCACCTGAATTTGTTGGAAGCAAATGGTATGAATAGAAAGTTCTTGTAAGGTATCTCTGGGATCCCTCAGAGGATGTTGAATAGGAGCTGGTGCTTTTCAGTTTATCCATGACCTGGAGTTAGGACAGCAGTAATGAAGTAGCCAAGTTTGCTAATGATATCAAATCATGTTGAGTTGTAAATAAGTTCACCTAAGTAAACTTCACATATATAGCATGGGATCTATGCTAGCAGTTGACTGATCAAACATAGGATCTTAAGATTGTGATAGAGAGCGTGGTGAAAATGCCAAGAGAATGTGCAGCAGCTGTAGGAAAGGCAAATCCCATACTGCACATAATTGGAAAAGGAGCTGAAAATAAAACTATTCATACCATACTGTCCCTATACTCCATGTCAGCATCTGGAGAACTGTGTGCCATTCTGGTCACTGCATCTAAACACCTGACACTGTATGGCTGGAAAAGGTGGAGAAAAAGAGCAATGAGAATAATCAAGGAAATTGAACTGCCCACTTTCATGGAAATGTTGCAATGTTTGTGGATATGTAGATTATTTTTAAAATGAGCAAGGGATAGAAGTGTACAAAATGACACATGTTCTGAAAAAAAAATAGTAAAGGTGTGGAAATAGCTCCGTGGTTTAGGTCTCTGGCTGTGGAGCAAGAGGTTGAAAGTTTGATTCCCCGCTGCACCTCTTTGACAGGGGCTGGACTTGATGAGCCATAAAATCAGTTAAAACTATGTCCTGCCGTGTTGTCTGATACTGTGGTATAACTAAAAATATTATATTAGCTACAATTAGATACCTTCTAATGCTGTAGTTCTGTGATGATAATGACAATGATTTCTGTTTTTTGAAATAGTTTCCAGAATTCTTGGAGCTGTTGTCAAAAAAACAAAAAAACAAAACACAAACAAACAAACCCACAAATGTGCAGACTTCAGGTAGAGAAGAATTGTGCTCCTTCTTTCATAATACCACAACCCAGGATCATCCAATGAAGCTAAATATGGGGAAATGGGAATTCTTCACACCTTGCATCATTAAGCTATGGAATTCATTGCCACAATATATAGTGATGGCTGCTAAGAGAAGAACACATCCTGAATCAGACAGTGCATCCTTGGAATAAGTGTGATGTGCAACATAAACTTAAAATTGAGTTTGAGAAGGTGCATTCTTATGTTACTATGTATTCTTGTAGAACACATGGTGCTATGTATTCTATTGTGTGGCATTAAACTGTACCATTTTACTAAGGCAACTATTTTAAAAAGGACAGAAGCATTTGAAATGAGTTTTCATTGGAGCTGTAGCTAGCCTGGAGCAACTAGTGTTTTCCCTCAAGGCACAGACATCTAGAGGGCACTGAAATAAAAAGGTGCATCTACCAATTAATGTTAGGATATTAAATGGCAACACCTCCTGGACGGGTTCACTTTCCCTCATTTAATTTTTTTTAAAGAATAGACTTTCTCTCCCTTTTTGAAGGGCATCATATACTTCTCTTCCTTTTCCATGACAGGCTTTTGCTCATGCCTCAGGGTGGAATGATCCGAGATGCTGCTGCTTGCTATAACTGCCAAAATAAGTAGTTATGGCTCTGTTTTCTATCACAGGATGCAAAGAATGGCTTGGCTTGAGAAAGTGGCTTACAAAAAAGTACTAAAGCAAATGCATGATGTCCAAGAAATCTCAACAGATGAGCCAATAAGATGCTGAACCTCTGCTGAGTGCAAAGTCCTATTGGCACAGCGGGATTTCATCACTTGCACAAATACTGCCCTTGCACAATCAGAGACCAATTTTCTTCGTACACAGCACTGCTTGGACAATGATAATTCTAGCACATGTCGTGTGACTTGGTTTCACTATGCTGGGAAGCCTTTCTGCTGAGCAGGAGTGCAACAGGATGTTGGTCGACATACGTAAAAAGATGGAATTTTTGAATCATGCAGCAAGAAATAAAAAGTGTAGACTGTTACAAATTAAAGCAATTACTCAAGGGAAAAAACATGGGAGAAAACATGCAAGAAAAGGAAAAGAATTTATTTGTGCAAAAATCTTTGGAAACTAGTTTTGATGCACCCAGCATCTCTGTTTAGAACGGTCAGAATCGGGGTCATTGAATCTGACTTCAGTGCAGGAGGGGATGAGAAAAAGCAAGCCAGATCTGTTTCCCTTCCTTCCTTCCTTCTCTTCACCATCCCACTTCGGCTCCGGCTTTCAGGGCCAGAGAAGGAGACTCCTCCAAGTGGGGAAAGCATTGCATGTATACTTGGGTATCTCCTGGACAACAGCCTATAGCCAGCGAATCCTTCTTTTCCAGAAATGTTGTACTACTGTAAACTTGCTGATGATCAAAATGACCCGATGGTCCTTTAAGGAAGACAAACAACAAAGATTTCTAACATTTTAATTTGTTTTTCATTTTTACCTATATTTCATAGGCACACATAATTGAAAATTGTGCAATTTTCTCATTCAAAGCAGTCTAGCTAGTTCAGACCTCATGCATGCTGACCACTTTCTCAATACAGAAACTAAGCTGCTGTCAGTTTCTGTTTCTCCAGTGCCCAAGTGGAGAAACAAAACTATTACAGAAAACAGATTCTGTTCTTGAAAAAAGAAACACCTGAGAATTTAAGCCAATTTACTAGTATTTCAGTGCTCTCTCTCTCTCTCTCTCTTGTGCTCTGCAAAAAGATAGGGTCCACATTTCCATCAGCCATGAGAGGATAATATCTCTGATATGTAGAAGCAGTGAGGAGAGGGGATTTAAAAAGAATTTGAATATGTTTAGTGTTGCATGTGACAGAACGGAGACATGGCTCACAGTGTTCAAGAGGAGGTGCCCAGAAAACGTATAGTGCAGGCTTCTTCAGCTAGGTGGGAGCGCTGAAATTCTCTGGGGATGATGGGAGTTGCAGTCAAATACTGTATCAAAAGCTGGTACTGTTTACACAGGAATGTGCAAAGGCAACTGATTTGCAGTAGTTTGGGAGTGCACAAAGTACACACCAGAATTGGTGTTAGTAGATCTTTATTACATTGTATCCTTACCAACCCCCAGCTACATGCTGGATTTAATTTTTTTCTTTATATTTGGGTTAGACTGCGGAAATAAGTGAGTCTTGAATCAGTTGCCATTTTAGATCCAGAGATTAAAAAGGTCTACTCAGAATATTAATCAGTCTGGAGTCATACAGTGTATATCTTATTTTCCATTCCCAATGGAGTTGCTGTCTCTCTGCCTTTCATTGTGGTTTGACAGGTAGAAATTCAATTGTTGTTGTTGTTTAGTCGTTTAGTTGTGTCTGACTCTTCGTGACCCCATGGAGGAGAGCACGCCAGGCCCTCCTGTCTTCCACTGCCTCCCGGAGTTGGGTCAAATTCATGTTGGTCGCTTCAATGACACTGTCCAAACATCTTGTCCTCCGTCATCCCCTTCTCCTCTTGCCTTCACACTTTCCCAGCATCAGGGTCTTTTCCAGGGTGTCTTCTCTTCTAATGAGATGGCCAAAGTATTGGAGCCTCAGCTTCAGGATCTGTCCTTCCAGTGAGCACTAAGGTTTGATTTCCTTCAGAATGGATAGGTTTGTTCTCCTTGTAGTCCAGGGGACTCTCAAGAGCCTCCTCCAGCACCACAATTCAAAAGCGTCAATTCTTCAGCAGTCAGCTTTCTTTATGGTCCAGCTCTCACTTCCATACATCGCTACTGGGAAAACCATAGCTTTGACTATTCAGACTTTCGTTGGCAAGGTGATGTCTCTGCTTTTTAAGATGCAGTCGAGGTTTGTCATCGCTTTCCTCCCAAGAAACAGGTGTCTTTTAATTTCAATAGGCAAAGATTATTCAAACAAGAACGTAGGGTTAGTCTCCTTATTAGTTTTTAGCTCAAGTCTGTGCCTGTAGTTTTCGTTCTTTTTTTCAAGAACCTATCCAAAGTATGTTAAGTTGCAAGATAGGGGTAAATAACCTTGGTGTCACTCCTTCTGAGTTTCATTCTCAGTGGTGGATTCAACCCAGTCTCTCTTGACAGCTAACTGTTGTTAGTGGAGCCTGGAAACATGAAGGCTTCTGGTTTTTTTTAATGGAGTGGGACTGTCAATTCCCAGAGTTCCCAGCCAGAGTAACTGCAGCTTTTGGGAGAAGCATTTCCCCAAAATAGCATTTCCAAGGTCTGGCCTTTGGTGCATTGACAGTCACTGCCATGGACTGAGTCCCTATCTAGTAACCTTAACCCATCTATTGCCTTTTGGAGTGTGTTGAGCTACACTACACATAGGTATTGATGCCCAGTTCATCTGGTGGTCGGAGAAAGATCCTTAAGAGCAAAATCTGTATTTTTAAGCTATATTAATGGATGTATCTTCTACAAAGCAGTTTCACCACAGATGGTGGTGGAAACTAGTCAAGAGTGGTATAGTGGTTACACTCCATCACTCAACCAAGGAACTCACTGCAAGATCTTGGGAAGTCACAATCTCTCAGTCTGACATAAGTGGGGTCTCGACTTACGAACTTAATCCGTATTGGAAGGCAGTTCTCAGGTCGAAAAGTTCTTAAATCGAATCTGCATTTCCCATAGGAATGCATTGAAAACCATTTAATCCGTATCTGCTCTTTTCGTCCATAGAAACTAATGGGAAGCTGCTATTCCGCCTTCTGCCACTAGAGGTGGATATTTTTTATTTTTTCCTTTTAACCTAAGATGACTTAGCTTTTAAAAAAAGGAAAAAAAGAGCTCGTAACTCGAATCTAAGTTCGTAAGTCGAAACGTTCGTATGTCGAGCCGTTCGTAAGTCGAGACCCCACTACCTCACAGGGTTGTTGGAAAGATGAAGAAGGAGAGGATTACTTGAAGTCACTGGATGAAAATCAGGGAATAAACACAAGTAAACAATACAAATGAAAAGTTTCTGCTTGTCCATTTGTCACTGCCTCAAATTAAAACAGTGGAACAGATTTTCGTCAAACTTGGCTGGTAGGTCTGGGACAATCTGATTTGAAAAGTAGGCTATAGTATAGAGTACCAAAGAGCAGGGGAATCACTTTGGGGCCGTTTTGGGTATCCTAGTGTTTTTCTCCTCAACAGCTAACTGGATTTTCACTAAAATTGAACAGAAACTTTAGAATGCTGTGACTTAAAATACAGTTGCAGAGAAATCCCTTTGGGGGCCATGAGGGCAGCCCAATTATTCCTTCATGGCTATAGAGTCGTCATTATAATAATTTAATTTTTTAAAATGTACATGTTTTGAGGTATGCCCTAATTTAATGCCTGGCTCAAGGGGGGGCATCCTGGGGAGTTGCATCTGTCAGATGAGCTGAGCCAGAACAGAGAGAGGACCAGTACAAAAGAAAGAAAGCGGTGCAGAGAAAAGAGATTGGGGTGAAGGTGGGATTCAAGGAATTTTAACCAGGCAAACTGTATACCAATAATAAAACAATTATGCCCGTCTTTCTAAATTGGGGCCGGCCCTAAGACTTTTTGGTACCCTCACCACAGCTAAATTGCTCCGGCTCTCTCAGCCTCTCCCATCTTTGTATTTCTATTATCTTTCCTCGGCGACATTTTATTTCCAAATGGGCTTCCTCTGAATCCAGCCTTCTTTTCACTGCACCGGGGAAAGGCAAGAGCGGATAGTAGTGGTAGGGGAGAGTAGGAAAGCGGGGAATTGGACCCAATCCGCTCCTTCTTTTCTTTTGTCCCGTTGTCCCGCTATTCTCTCTCTGCATGACTCATCCTCCTTGATCTCTTTCGGATGTAGGCGTGAGATAACTTTCGGTTTCTATTTCCCCAGTACAGGTTGCCGGAGCCTTTAAAACCGGAACGGAAAACCGAGGCTCCTTCGATGCGGGTTGAGCGGCGGCGAGGACGGACAGCGGTATCACCGCCCGTTAGGAAGCGGCGCCGAGATTCCGCTCTATGACTTGGTGAGTCAGGTACAAGTGATGGATGGGAACTGGTTTGGTAAGGGAAGAGCTTGGAGCCTTTCCCTTTTTTTTTTTTTTTTTTTTGGAGCACTGAATCCCCAGTTTCAACTCATGGGAGTTGTGGTCCAAAAACTGAAAGAAAGAAAAAAGAACGTTTCCAAGTTTTTAGTAGTTTCCAAAGGTTGGGTGGATCAAAATCGGGAGTGGATTTTGGATCACGAAAACTCACACTGAGATTAAATTTTTAGCCTTTGAAAATAACTTGAAAGGTTATTTTGCCTCCCCGCCGCTCCTTTTTGCTAAATTCTGGCTATTTTCTTTGAGGGGGGTTGGTTGAGGCATTTGGGGGAATCGGGGCTTGCGTGCTAAGGTCTTCCAAGAAGGTACTTGTGGCCCTCAGACTGTTAAACTCCAATCCGGAGCTTGGAAAGTTACTCTTTAAAAAAAAATGCTGTGTAGAAAAAAGGAGCTTTACCTTAATTGCGGGCGGCCATCTAGTTTAGATTTGGAAAAGACCTTTCTTGAGCTACCAAAATGTTATAAGCAGGCAAGCTTTCAAGCCTATCAGAATATTTAATGGTGCATCAGAGGAGAACTGTATGAGGAAGGGCAAAATGCAGTCCCTGGTACCACATGAGCCCCACCCCTGTGTTATTTCCCTCCCATCACACCTCTCCCTGCCAAAAATAATGGTTCCTTCCAACAGAAGTCCTTATCATCCATGTCTGGGGCAGAATATTGTCTCCCCCTCACTCCCTGTCTGTCTTATAAATTCAGCTTGAGGTATGTTGTGACAGGTTACAGTATAATGTTGCAAAGCTACTCCATCTGTACGTGCTACATAGACTATATACAGATGGTGAAAAACAACAGGTTCTCTCTCCCTTGAGATGTAACTTGATAGTAGGACACCTCAAGTTTATTCTTCAAGCCTGCAGCATTTATTCAGATACAAGAAGCCTACAATTAGCTTCAGGATAACCCATTCATGACTCCCAAATGTCTAGAAATAAGTCCTTTGGGGGAGGTTTCTGCATATGCAGTAGATTAAAGAATATGTTGATTGTTGTTGTGGGTTTTTCGGGCTCTTTGGCTGTGTTCTGAAGGTTGTTCTTCCTGACGTTTCGCCAGTCTCTGTCAGGAAGAACAACCTTCAGAACCATGGCCAAAGAGCCCGAAAACCCACAACAACCATCAGATCCCGGACATGAAAGCCTTCGAGAATACAATATGCTGATTCATGCTGACTATAGGACTTAATATACAAATAGGAAATTTGCCACAAATTGGCTCTGTCTGATATGTAGACAAAATTCTGAAGGTTCACATCCTAAACAGATTTGCTAGGATGTAAGCCTGCTAGGATATGGTATGGGGCTTGGTCTGGAATATGTGTGGTTAAATTTTGGGTCTTGGTATGGGTCAACTACCTCTAGATATCCTTTAGATACTAACAGCGCTTCTGAGCTCAGATCTAGCATCCATTTTGTGTTTTTCCCCCTAGTGTTGCTTCTTCTTTCCTGATTAAAAATAGGTATCACCCAAACTGTTGAATGAAATCTTGTTTAAATTCTCCCCACCCATGCGTCTTCTTTATTCAAAGATATTCAAGCTTTTACACACAAGGAAGTGCTTTTATTTGTGGTGCTTTTATTTATTTAATTTGATTGACGTATAGTGTTTCTCAGGGTTGTCTGACTTTTGCAATTTTTGTAATCCCTATCTGTTGGTAAGTGGACAGGAATGATGGGTGTTGTAATCCTGCAACAACTGGGGACCAACATAGCTGGGGAAAGTGGTATGGCGCATGCAGCAAGCTATTGCAGCCAATACCCCAGGGTTTCCAGTGAAAGCTAGCCTGTTTCTTTAACAAAATTTGGTAGGAAACCAAACTTCAATTCCTTCTAAAATAAGGATGACATAATAAAATTATTAGGACTCCCACTGTGTTCTCTATACTGTTATATCAATATATTCTTTGAACTTTTTACTGTTGTATGCTCATTGTTACTAACCTAAATGCTCTCTTTTCACTGTTGTTAGCCTGCTTGGGTCCTTTTAAAGGAGAAAGGCAAGTTAAAAATATTTTAGAGAAATAACTTTGGTCTTGATCGGTGCAAACGAGTGCCTTACTTGATAAAAGAAATCTGGTGATCTGTAACACCAAGGGAATGTCTTGCTTTTTCTATCCTGTTGTCCCATCTTCAATATCCACTTTCCACCCTTCCAAAAGAAATGCTTGTAGAGTTAGAGGGAGAAAAAGAAAACAAAACCCTTCTCATGTTACAGTTCGAGATGATACTGGTAGAGATAAGAGACCTGTGAATCGGTTGGAACTGAATGGAGAGCATGCAGTGTAGGATTAGTGGACTTGCTGTCTGCTGAAGGAGATTCTGTTTCCAATACAGTACCACTAACTATGTAAGGCACCATGGCAGGGAATCCTGTTGGCATATAACTGTAGTAATTGCCATCAGCTGACAAGTTGCCACTCAAATTCCTGGTTGCATGACAAGTGACAAAACTGGCACAAAAACAGGAAGGCAAGCAGCAGCTCATTGATTGGTAAGAATTTACTGCTGTGTACTGTACACAGTTACACTTATGCTGGTGTAAATCCCCAACAAATTTCTGGCTGTGGAAGGAAGGTTGGGTGGCCCCATTCAAGTTTATTTTAATATTGGTCAAACTCCTGTTGGGTTTTTACACCAGCACAGCACAATTGGTATAAATCTAATTGGTGAATTGCCTTGCGTTGAGAAGTTGGTGTAGGCATTTTCTATTGCAAGCTAAGTTATGCACAAACCAGTAAATTCTTAAACTGGATTAATAACTTACAGCAACTCTCCTACGTGGTTTATGCAACTTATATTACTCCAGCAGGTATAACTAATTAGGTTTGGGCCACTGACTGTTTAATTGTAATTTAACACCACAACCTTTTGTCTATTTTTTATTTATTCCTGTTTTGTAAGCCAACTTCAGTTTGGGTTCTGGATGTATGGCAGGATATAAGTCAAGCAAACCAATCCGGTATTGCCACTCCTCTTTAAACTGTCCCAAAAGTTTTTGACTTATCTTGTATGCAGTGGGGAATCAATGTGCAAGTAGAGTGGGTAAGATGATATTGTGTTTTATCTTTTCACTGCATTTTCTGTGTTTTTCTTCCCACTTCTGCAGGTTTCAAAATGTCTCAGAAACAGAAGAAGAGGTGAGGAACATGTACACATGTGTGTAAGGGGGGAGGAAGAAGACAGTGAGTGATACAGTGCTGGATGGACTGATCACCATAATCTAAGCTGTAATGAAACGTGACAGATATTTTGATCTGATTTTGTCCTCCAAAGAGGTCAGAGTGGCACCTAATAGTGTACCCCCTGTTTTATCTTCATAAGTGCCCTGCCAAGGTGGGAGTGCTGGGTTGAGAAAAATTGTGATCAGCCCAACCTCGCCAAGAAAACTACTGATGCAGCTCCATATATGTGTCTGTCAAGAGGGGCCGTAGACAGCAGTCTGTAAGAAGGTGGGCACCAGGAACCCAAGCCAGGGAGTGCACAGGACAGGATAGCAAGCTAGGATACCAGCCAAAAGTCAGGATGAAAGGAGAACTGTGCTGAAGGTAGGACCAAAATACAAGTCAGAAGTTAGGACCAAGAGATACAGGAAGACACCAAAGGGCAGGAAGACTTTGGGCAGATACAGATGGAGCTGTTGTTTTACCTCCTCTCTTTACTAATTAGTGCAAAACAGAGCAGGAACTAGCAGTTTGGGTGCTTGCTGAGCCCTGAGACTTTTCCTCTTTTTTATTTTGTTTTGTTTTTTGAGTGGGGGAGAGCTCTATGTCACAATGCCAGTGCTGCTGCAATCTCTTCCTCTGGCATGGGATGCAGCGGTGGTATAGCTGGTCCTTATCATTGCCAGGCAGAGCAGAGGGTGGTCACGGGGCCATAGTGGCCTCTATCCTTTGTTCAAAGGCTAAAGTTTCCAAGTTTTTTGGGTTGGGGAGGGAACACCTTGGTGGAACAATGTATGGTGGCCGGGGGGAGGGGGAGACACTTTGTTTCTTGCCTTAAGTGTTGAAAGAGCTTGGCCACCACTGTGGGAAGATCTCCTGGTAGTGCTGAGGCTGCTTATTTTCTGACGCTGTTCTGTCAACTCACCTCTGAATTTGTCACCCTCTAAATTAATAGCACTCTTGGGCTAAGGCTCAGCTGCCCAGGCCAAGTTACAGCTTGGATGCTGAAAGAGAGTTTGGTTTACCATCATCAGTGCCTAAAGCATATATTTAAAAACCTTCTTTTCCTCTTAACAAATGTTTACACAATCTTAAAGATTTAAGAAATCCACTTCTCTTCAGGAGCTTGTTTGTTTGAAGTGCTAAATGAAAACTTTTGACCAGAGGCTCTTCCCATGGATATCGGCTCCAAATGGCAAGTGCCTAAGTCTGATCTTTTGTACAAAGCAATACTAAAAATATACCATGCTTTCAGGAAGATCCAAAAGGAAATAGAAGTCATAGGGAGAAGAGCACTGGGTGAAGCTGGATTGTCTGTCCGTCCATCCGTCCATCTGTCTAATAAACTTTTATACTGCCTGATTAGTGCTGGGCACTACTCTGGATGGTTCGCATCAAAAAAAAATACGAATGGGATAATATGACAAAACAAATCAAGATAGAAATAAATACAATTTAAAAAATCAATACATCTCAGCATAAAACTAAGAAACCCAGATGATGACATACGTAAATACTGTATAACAAAACATTAAAAGAGGATGCCCTTTAAGGCCTTGTGTGAACAGCCTTGTTTTGAGCATCCTCTTAAAAACTGAGAGGGAGGCGATTGGGTACCACCCCTTCCATAGGAGGGGTGCCACAACTGAGAAGGCCTGGTTTCTTGTACCATGACTTTTGAGGATCAGGTGATGCGAGCTGATGTTCTTAGGGAAAGATGCTCTGACAAGAGGATGTCCAATGGTTGTTGGGGAAATACCAATAATATCAGTGTAAAACCTGGTACTTCAAAGAGCGCACATACTCCATCTCTTTGTTGCTTAGTCAAAGCTGAACTGGTACAGGAGGCCCTTTGTTAGTCTTTCCTCTCTAGGAGGATCTAATGAGAGCTTCGAAAGTAATATTCCTAATCTCTGGACCCATTAGTTGGTGTAGTCCCATGCTTGAGAATACTAAGCAGCAGTTGCTGTAACATACAATATACTACCACAAAAGCAAAGGCTTTAAACCTAGGTCTCCCCATTTTTTAGGTATGAGTCTAACCACTGTGCTTTCTATCCACCTTTATCTTTTTTCAGGAAAGGCTTTCGACAGAGATCACCACCTGTCCTTGAATACTTGCAGGGTATTCTTCGCAAATACCCAGATGGGGGTCAGATCTTAAAAGTGAGTTACTTTTAAGTGTTGAGCACTGGGTGTTTTTGTGCTTGAGGTTTTTGAGGATTAGAAACTGAGTTTGGAAAAGTTACTCTTTAAAATGACAACTCCCAGAATCCCCCAACATAGATATATTGGCCTTGGGAGTTCCAAAACTGTAATCTGAAAAGTAACTTTTCTGGTTTTACTAATTAAGAAGTATCAGTTTGTGAATGAGTAAAATGTTTTTGGAAGCAAGAAGCTTTGAGATAAATCATACATTTTTAAACAGCCATTGTCTAAAGAGAGTTTCCATCATGTCCAAGAGAGAAAAAAATCAGCCTGAAGAATTAGTCAGTTTGTTAAATGATTTAAAGGTTTGACAGCAGCAACAACAACACCCCAAACATATATGCAGGCCTCTTGAATGCTACTCTAATGGCTGTGCCACAGATGGAGGCAGTAGGACTGTGTTTTTCTGGATGAATTAGTTTGGAAAAGATGAGTCCCTTGACAAAGGAAGCCAGAGATAGGAAGTCTGGTGGTTTACAGCAAGTGAGAGTGGCAGGATATGTGTAGTGGAGATTCTCTGAAGTGGATTCTGGTGGTCAACTGCCTTTGATTTCTATTTCCTCACTCATTTCCTAATTCCTTGCTTCTTTCCAAAGGAGCTAATTCAGAATGCAGACGATGCAGGTGCCAAAGAGGTGATCTTACTCTATGATGATCGGAGTTTTGGAACCCAGACCCTTTTTTCTGAGGGGCTGAAGAGTGCCCAAGGTATGAGACCAACAAATAGCTAGCAAGAGGGGTAGAGAACTGCTGGTCTGAACTGAAGATCAAAAGATGGGTCAAATTGTTCACAGGGGTGGTGGCTACTCATGTGTCACATGGGATGTGAGCTCCTGTTGCCATGCATGAATGCCAGCAAGGAGTTTTTGTAGGTCATTTGGGGTTTTCCCAGAAGAAAAGGTGGTGGGCTGACTTGGACAATGGAGTACACAAGGAATCTTCAAGAACCCTGGCTTCACAGCTACAGTAAATTTGGGTAGCTGGAAATCAATTTTCTGTTCCCAGGAGCAAAGCAAACGTGTGTGTTTTCTGGTCCTTAGCTGAGTTGCTGAACAAGACAAGGATCAGGCAGTGTCTTCAGTAAATTCCTGCCTCTGTATATGTGTATGTATGTGTGTGAGTGAGTGAGTGAGAGAGAAAGATGGGGAGGATTGCACATGAGCAAATGCTTGCTTGGCTCCTGTATGCATGTGTGCCCCTCCCCCCCCATGCTCCACTGTCTCCCTGGCTCCGTTTGCCATTGGCTGTCATGCCTTCTGCCCCACCAACTACAAATAAGCACCAGTCTCCACTGTCCCCTTGCTGTTCCCAGGACTATCCTCCAGCCACCTCTGCAGTTCCAAGGTAGGAAGAAGGTTCAGCTTGTCACACCGAGGACTTGTTCACCATAACAAGCTTAATGCTGACAGACTGAAACACCATTTCTACTCTTGCTTTTGATGTCACATGTATACCCAATTATTGATGGCATGGAAAGCCTGGCCTGGTTCTGTGCAGGTGGCTATGTGGCCTCCTGTAGATAGGGGATGGGTCTTGTTAGGTCTTGCGACAAGAGTATCTTAGTGGACATGGGAACATAGCTGGTAGCAGGGCTGGTTCCTGTTTTGTTTGGTAACCTTTTATTGATAAGGTGTTTTTAATTTGGTGCAGAGTTCAGAAAAGTTACTTTTTGGGCTGCAACTCTTAAGAATCCTGCAGAAAGCACAGCTCTGATCATGCTTAGTTATGGGATTCTGGGAGTGGCAGTCTGAAGAAGTCAAGTTGACAACTTCTGGCAAAGGTGGGAAGGACTCTTGAGTGTCAGTTTCCTACATTCTGCAAGGTGGAAGTAAGATCTGAGCAGGGCCTGTCAATGGAGGTTGGAAAAAGATTACTTTTTCAGACTGGAATTCCAGACAAGGGTTTCCGAGTGTTGTAGTCTAGAGTAAAATGCATTCAAAAAAGCTGTTGGCAAAGAGAAATAATCTATACTATAAAATACTGGCTAGCTTCTACTTGTTTCCATCCACATATTTTGATTCTAACACGACAAACTTAAGTGTATTTGCTTGTGAATAAATGTCACTGGACTTGCTCGCAGTCTTTGCCCTAAGCATTTCTTAAACCAGTTGCAATGTTGCAACTTTCCTCTTTTAATTAGAAATGCAAACTACATTCCACAAGTAGTCTTGCCATTTAGACTGAGCAATCTTGACTTGTTTTTACTCTTCCTCTTATTAGGCCCTGCACTTTTGGCCTACAATAATGGCGTCTTCTCTCAGGCTGATTGGGAGGGGATCCAGAGTCCAGGCATCAGCCAGAAGAAGGAGGATCCCAATACAGTTGGACGCTTTGGTTTGGGCTTTAATTCTGTCTACCACATCACAGGTGAGAAGCCTGGCATGGATCCATCAGTCTTTCAAGCCAGAGATGACATCTCATGAAGTGAGGCTAGTGCAATGATAGTTTTTGAAAAGAAGATATAGGTATATGGCTAAAGACTAAGGATAAAAGAGGACACTGATTTGCATGTGCTGATGTATATACTGTACACTGATAAAAAATTAGAAATTGGCTTTCAATAATTTGAGCAAAATTACAGAACAATTCACCTAAGTGGGGAAGATTATGAAAAAGTAACCTATGTGCCTGCTAAGCTTCAAGTGTTGTTAAATGTGGATGACAACCTTAAAGCCTCTAATCTCCCTTTATGGCATTTTAAATCTTTAAATGGGTCTGGGATTGAACCATGTTTCACATAGACAACTGTTCTCTGGCAACCCTTCAGACAGTGATCTGTCTTGTTTAAAGGAGGACATATGGCTACCTTGCTTTCTCTGAAGAATTAGACCTTATTTTAAAAAATGAGGACTATTCTTACTGTTTTGCCAACACATGAATACCATCACAAAAGACTCTGGTGTCCTTTGGAAAACTGTCATTCTGTGCTTCGAATAAATAAAATCTAGCAGAACAGACCCCCAGTTTGGCAGGGTTTTGAGTGGGTGGGTTGATGTTTTGCAGAACTAACATGCTGCAAGAAAATCCCAAAAGAAACCTGTGCTGGTCCATAGTACATGGGGGCGGGATTTCAAATTCCTGGAGTATTATCCAAAATCAAGAGTCGGTCAATAGCAGCACTGATCCCTCACACACTTCACAAAAAAAAAAAAAAAAAAAAAAAAAAGAGGAGGAAGAGGAGGAGAAGAAGATGATGATGATGATATCCCAATCAGGCTACATGACAGATAGAAAGAGCAGATAAAATGGGAAAAACAGAATCCCAAATTAAACCACATGTTTTAGTCATTAAGTCTTTGGTGTTAAAACTGAGGTTAACACACTGAATAAAATAGTCACTGGTAGGTCTTGCAAGTTACACAAATTGGTCTTCGACAAACAAGCAACCCTGACCACCTGTGATTTGGTTTACACCTTTAATGGCACGTGATGGGGAAAACCAGATGTGCACATCAAAATAAGATAATAAAGAAGGAGAGCAACCAAGGGACGGCCATCTAGATCTTTGTGACTGAAGGTCAAATTGCCTGTTAAGGAAACTGCATACCTCCTGCTACTACATTTTTTCTCTCAAGGCACATCATTCCTTCAAAGCTTCATGCTTGAGAGGAATCTGACTTGTAAATGAGGCCCCTGTTTACCTCCCAATGCCCAGCCATAAAACAAAGACAAACTAAATGAGATATCCTCATGCTACGATGAACAGCATTTCTTTTACTTTAAGGGAAGTCTACTTCTAATGAAGTCTCAATTGTACTGTGTGGTTTGACACCAAATTTCTGCCTTTCTTGCTCCTAGATTTCCCATCTATACTCTCTGGTGAGTGTTTGGGAGTGCTGGACCCACAAGAAACAGCATTAGATGAAGGTGGTGAGCGCTGGGATGTAGATGAATGGGAAGGAGTATCTGATCAGTTCCAGCCTTTTTGGGCAGCACTGGCATCGCTTGGCAAGCCTTGCCCTACAGCTGAAGGCCATTTCCCTGGCACCCTGTTTCGTTTCCCATTGCGTCAAAGTCCATCAAAGATCTCCGAAAATCTCTACAGTCCAGAACGGGTGCAGGAATTGCTGCTTACATTCTTGAAAGATGCCCCCATGAGTTTGCTGTTCCTCAGGAATATCCAGAAACTGATGTTGGGCCTAGTTGGATCCGACGGTACCATCAGTGAACTGCTAAGGGCGGAGGCCACCGTTCGTCCACTTAAGGGCTCAGGCAGTCTTGAAAGTGTCACTTGCACCAAATTGAACATGGCTGGCCACATCAAAACATTGACTCTAGGTGGCACTGGGATGAGAGAGGCCACCGCTTGTGACTGGCTGGTGTTGTCCGCCGAAGCCAAAAAGGAGTCCTTTCCAGAGCTGTGGAGTCTTGCTGACAAGGTGAGGTCCCGGCCTGCGTTGTCACTGGCTTACTGTTTGCAAGGCAAGTGCACTGGCCGTCTCAGTTGCGTCTTGCCACTTCCTGCCACAGAGGAGAACACAACCGGATTGCCACTGCACATCAGTGCCCCTTTCCAGTTGACGGATGACCGCAGGCATGTGCAGTGGTCTGAAGAGGGGTCTCAAGCACGAGGAGCTGATGGCCGCTGGAACCACTTGCTTCTTGAGGAGATGCTTCCTGATGCTTATTGTCAGGTGGTATCGCTGGCATCTGACTTCGCCAGTGAACCATACGGGGCCTGGCCAGATCCGGATCAAAGCCAACAACTCCGATACAAGCCTTTAATATCTCATATATGTCAGAGGCTAATGGACATGAAACTCTTAGTACGAGCTGGAGATGGGGATCCCCGCCTGCTTCACCCTCGGGAGGCCATCCTCTTGCCAGAGAAAGTGGCAGAGAAGTCAGTGGGTCGAGTGCTGGAGAAAGCCCTGACTTTGGCAGGAGCATCAGTGGCATCTGTTCCTCTCCATGTTCGCAGAGCGCTGGCGTTGGGTGCCAATAATGGGCCAGCCGTGCAGGAGGCCACAGCCACGTTGGTGAGAGAGACCCTGCGAAGGGCTACCAGTGTCTGGAGTGGACTAAACCTTTTGGAGAAACGGTTGCTGTTAGAGTATGTGGCTGGAGATGGGTGCTACCAAGAACTGAAAGGTCTTCCCCTGCTGCCAACAGCTGATGGACGCTTTACATGGTTTGGGGAACCAGGGGAGACCATCTTTGTTGAGAGCCAGAACTTTCCAAGGTGAGAAACCTCTTTGCACGTAGACCTCATAGTAACTCACTGTTGCTACATTCAGAGCTTGGAAAATTGTCTACTTGGACTACAATTCCCAGGATCCCACTCACTAAGGGATTTTGACATTGCAGTTCAAAATAAGTCACTACTACTTCTAAACTTCAGCCCCATTATTCCTCCTTCCCCATTACAGTATATTGGTCCTCTGTTCAATATACTGTTGAATATGAGACTCAGATAAGGGCAATTCCATCTAAGATAGTGCTTCAGGAATATTTTTAGAAATGATGTCATTGCAGACATCACCTCAGCTCAGTGTTAAACAGTGATGCAAGTATTCTGGAGAGAGAAAAACTGAATCAGGGAAAAAATCTGATTATTCCCCTTCCATTGATGACTGGCTCATTAAATGTGTTTGGTTTATTTGTCTTTAACTGAGAAATTAGAAAAAAAATGTGTCAAGTTAATTTTAAAAGAATTTTAAAAGTTCTTTTCCCAATATACAAAATCAATGGATGTGGAGTATCTGTTATGGGGGTGCGGAACACGAGAGTCTCTGGAGTGTGTTTTAAGTGTTGTATTCAAACAAATCTAAACTTTATTTAAAAGTTGATTTTGCCTGAATACTGATGAATATTTATTAGGTACATATATGTGTGTATATATGTATTTAGACAATGTGCTTCAATAGTTGCACTTCTCCTGCATAGTTTAGATTGAAAAATTTAAATTATTTTAATGGAAAAACAGATACTAATTACCACTTTAGATTCATGAGGGAGACTTCGTGTGCTCTCATTAAATTACCTCACAGTAAATGTTAACACACCCCCTACAGGACATAAACAGAATCTAGATTATTTGAATCAGCATCAGACTATTTGGCTGTTCTTTGATTGAAGAGTTAGGAGGAGAAATCCAGCCAATTGCTACCTGGATGATGTTTGAATCACATCCCCAATGGCTATATATTTTTCAGCATTATCCACAAACTCTTGTTGCACGGCCTGAGGAAGACTGATTAAAGTCAAAACCTAGCTGTTCAATTTTTTTGTGATCTAAAAATAGTATCACCTGCTCTTGCATTTTTATTACATAAGGATCATGTGGCCTTTTGATTTCTTAAAATAAAAATAAGGGAGCGTTCAAAGCTGTGTTTCCCCTATCTGCAACTTGAAGTGATATAGCCTGTTTGGTCACCTCACCTCACAACTTTATTTCTTGGATCTGTTACATAAAGGCAAGAAGTACTTTAAGAGTAACTGATTCACAGTAGGAGATCAATAAATGAAGGCAAATGATGTCTTGAGGAAGATGTGAAACAATAAAAGATACTGATGCTGCTGTTCTAGAATGCTAAACTGCATGTTACAGAAGAGAGTTCTGAATAGACCCCCTATCTCTTTAACCTTTATTTCAAGTAGCAGTTGTGGGTGGATGGAGGGAATGTTCTCAAAGAAAGTTCATGGGAGTGATAATGGGAGTCAGGGTACATGTAAACTGCATGTTAAATCTCCATGTCTGAGCAATCAGAATTTCAGGTAAAGCCCACATTCATTTACCAATAAGCAATAACAGTCATCCGCAGAACAAAATCAAGCTAACCCTCAACATAGTACAGAGTGGGGCAAGCTCATGCTAGAATAAAAACACAACTTAAAGCCGCTCTAATAAAGGTTTAACTGATTCAACTGGCTTGACTGATCTGTCTCTTTTATATCATATCACTACTCTCTGATGCAGGTTCTCCTCACAAGTAAAGACAGAAAGATATGCATTCACACCTCTTTGTCATAGCACTTACCTTGATCTGGAGCCTCTCTTTGTGGCAGCTTGTGCTTCTTTTGAGAAGACACATACCATGTTTTGAGAAATGCCAGCCTACAGCCATATTTCCCAACCATGAGCCCTCCAGCTCTGTTGGACTACACTCCCCTCCCCCTCCCCCAGCAATCCAATAGGCTGAATGGATGGTGTGATGAGACTTGTAGTCCAAAACATTCGGAGGTCACTGAATTGGAGGAGGCATGTCTAGAGGCCAGAGGGTCAATGGAATGCTGCTATGTCTCCTAAAATGGTAAACCCCATCAATGGGCCAGTGACTTAAATTGGGAACCTATGGCGTAGGATGCCTCATTTCCTTATTGTGCTGCCTTGTCCTTCCTAACATATTTGTGATTTCTTCCTGCCGGCATTGCAGGATCCTATTGCCTGGTCTAGCTCATCGGTTCCTGCCCAAAGATCTCAAGCCTGAGCTTCTGGAGCATCTGCAAGCAATTGCAAAAAAAAGTGAGTCAGTCATTTTCCTATGGGCCATAGCTGGCTGGACAGCTCAGTGGTTTCAGCATCTGGCTGAGGAGCCAAAGGTTGAGAGTTCCCCAATGTGCCTCCTGAAAACAGAGCCAACCCGTGTGGCCTTGGTCAAGTTGCACATCCCCAGGGCGGCCCAAGAAGAAGAGAATAGTAAACAATTTTCTATACTTGGAAATAATTGACTTTACAGCACATTGTTATTATTATTATTATTATTAAAAAATACCAGACACAGTCAATCAAAATTATAAAAACATTGACTGGTATTATACAACAGATATAAGTTGTAAGCAAAAACTCAAGTATCTGTTAAATATTGGTGCAGTATGTGTGCTGTTCCTAATACTGCCGATTTTTGTAGTTCTGATGGTGTTATTTCTGAGATCTCCAATTGCTTATGGTACTGTGTGAATTTTCTTGATATTGTTCCCAAAGCCCCAGTGACTTATGGGGACCACTGAAATGTGTTTCATCCACAAGTGAGATTTTTCAGTTGCCAGATCTCTCTATTTTGTTAGGTATTTGTAAATTTATTAGTTTTTCCAATTCTTTTTATTGTTGTTGTTAGGCTTTAATTGAAGCCACATTATAGGCTTGCAGCAGCTCAGCAGTAAACACTGGGGGCAAAGGGAAAGGAGAGAACAGAAAGGTTGCAGAGAGGAAAGACAGCCATGGACTCTGTGTGTGACTCAAGAGAGATAGATCCAAGACCAGCATGTGGGCTTCATAACTTATTGGGGATTTGAACCTTGATCCTAGCCTGAGACTCTTACCTTTCCTAAAGTAATATTCTCCAGATATGTGGAACTGCAACACCCCAGCATGGCCAGTAGAAGGCACCAGGCAGAGGAAGGCTGATCTATCCAATACAATGCATTGCCTCTCAGTGTACTGCTTGCCCCTAGTTTGGACTTTCTTTCTTTAGCAGTGCTACCGCATCTGTGTTCACAATTTTTGCACACTTAATCATAAATGAATATTCAACTGCAGGCATAGACTCCTTGTATGAGCAAACATTATATGCAGGGCTTGAAAAATTTTAGAATGTCTCATCAGTCAGTTAAATATTTCACCAGTCAGCATGACCGGACGATAGCTTTGCAATTTATGTTTACATTTAAATTTAAACTAGGCACTTTTGCGTACAAACCCAAAATAAATATACCCTCAGACTTGAGTTGTTTTACTACCTGCGTGCCTGTGGGGATCATGAAGCTTGTACAGTGGTGCCCCGTTTGACGACAATAATGCGTTCCAGGAAAATCGCTGTTCTGCAAATTCATCAAGTGGAAAAAACCCATTGGAATGCATTGAAAACCAGTCAATGCGTTCCAATGGGGGAAATACCTGCTTGTGCAGCGAAGATCCTCCATAGGGCGGCCATTTTGGGATCCCTGTCTTGTGAACAATCGGTCCAGAAAACAGCGGGGAGCCATTTTGCGAACCGCCGATCAGCTGTTTCTAATTGTCGTTTTGCGAAAAGTGGTTCCTGAAGCAGGGACCGAATCAACGTTAAGCAAAAAACCCCCACAGAAACATTGTTTTGCGATCACTATAGCGGTCACAAAAAGTCATTGTAAAGCGATTTCGTCGTCAAGCGGGGTCATTGTCAAGCACGGCACCACTGTATTTTGAATGCCTTTCTTTTGAATGTCTCCAGGAAAAATAAAACTGAAAGCAAAAGCACCTGGCCTCTTAAGGAGCCAGGTCTTTCGTTTGAAACTGGGAGCAGCGAATCTCCATATTCTCCAGCATGGGACTATGCCACATATGTCCATCAAAAACGACAATTGCACTCTGATTTTGATTGTTGAGCATTCTCTATCTCTTTTTTTTTTGTTTCACACTTCTAGGATTATTCAGGAACCTGCTCTTCTTGGATCAAACTAACATTCAGCAGAACTTTCGTGACTCTCTCCCCAAAGACTGGGTCAGCAGTGTGTCAGCTCCTGTAATCTGGTATCCAGCAAAAAACCTACAACATCCCCCTCTTGAGTGGCTTACCACTTTCTGGAGCTTCCTGAACCACCACGCTTCCTCGTTGGCACCCTTCGAAGGGTGCCCAATGATTCCATTGACTCCTCTGAGCAACTCCTTCGATGGCATCCAACTGGCACGGCTTTTGCCTCAGCCTGTCCTGTTGTTTTGGCGCCACAATGGGCACTGCTTGCCAGATGAGGTGGCTAGCCTTCTGGAGACACTGGGGTGTACTGTGATCCGGAGCTGGGAGCCAGACTGGTCCCACCACCAACTGAGAGAATATATTCTTGAACCCACGCCTTGCAGCGTCCTTCAGGCTTTTGTCCATTTGGGGGTAGCATCTGTGGCTAGATGCCTAACATCCCTGTCCACCCAGCGGATTGACAGTCTGGTCACCTTTCTCTCCAAGGCTGCATCATTTTCTCAAAGGGAAATTGAAGTTCTGAAGGAACTGCCGTTGTTCTTCAAGATGCCATCCCTCCTTCCACCCTCCTTGTCTGGCTTGGTGGCAGCTCAAAGCTATTTGACTTTAGAAAAGAACTTGGTCCCACCAGTGCCCAGCAATCTGTTGACTCCAGAGCCCATATTGTTGTGTCGTAATGAAGCTGAGCGTCGCCTGCTTGTGCAAATCCGGGGACATCTTGTGGGCACACCTGATCTATGTCTGTTGTGTGTAAAAGCAATGAAGAAGGGGCAATATGCCAGTCGGGCAGAGGATGCCAAAAGGCTAATGCTGTGGATATTATATAACGGGGACTCCCTTTTCAGCCAGAGCCGGGAATTGCAATCTCTGTGCTGTGACCTTCCTTTTGTGGAATGTGGAGCAGGAGGGTTGAGACGGCCTATTGATCTCTATGATCCCGAGAACCACACTTTACAAGCCTTATTAAGACCTTGCCACTTTCCCACAGGCTCTTTTCGGGAGACGGCAGCATTGCGAACCCTTCGTACGCTGGGACTAAAACCCGATCTCAACAGCATTGATCCAACAGATGTGTTAACGGCTGCAAAGGAGGTGAGTCAAGCCCAAGGGGCTGCCGTTGCCACTGCCAAGTCTCAGGCACTCGTCCGGATTTGCAACGAGACCTCTCTGCTGTCCCGCTGCTGTTCACAAGAGATGAAGCAGCTGCGGTCCTTACCTTGGGTGCCCGCCACCAATGCCTCCAGTCTCAGGTCAGCTGAACGCTTCTCGGCTCCTGAATCGCTTCGCTCAGAGAAGTACTCTGCTCTTGTGGGCCTGGTCATGGGACTGACGAATGCTTTTTGCCCACAAGCTGCAGAGAAATTGGGTCTGGAGCGTTTGCCTCCACCAGAGAAGGTAATGGAAAATCTAGCTGGCCTGGTACAAGCTTTCGACTGCAAAGTGACCCCAGAGTTAACGGCAACGTTGCACAGCATTTATAGGCACATGCAGCAGCAGGCGAGAGATTTCCAGAAGCCACCTGCAGGCCCTGCCATATGGAATGGCAGTGGCTTCTCAATGCCCGCAGATATTGTGTTGGCCTACCCTGAAGGCTTGGATCTCGAGGCCCTGATGCCCTGTGTTCCCCCAGATTTTCAACAGTACAAGAAGCTCTTTGCAGCATGGGGCATGCGCAGGTTACCAAAACAGGAAGATATATGTCAGGCTCTTCATGTGTTGGCGGATAAAATCAACCTCCGGCCTCAAGGCGGCACACGGGCCGAGCTGCTCCTCACGATAGCTGTCTTGGATTGGCTTTGTGCTTGCGGTCATCAGGGAGAAAGGGAAATGCCTGTGCCGGTGAGGATTCCGGGATCCGCTGGCTTTGTTCTTCGCCCGGCCGGATCAGTGCTATACTGTGACATGGATCGGGCCAAGCTCACTGAGCTGGATGGAGCCCCACCAACTTTGGTACACGAGTCTGTTTCCATTGCCACAGCTGCCTTTCTTGGCATAGAGATGCTGAGCACAAAGTTGTCGGGCTTAGAACTGTTTGAAGTGTGGGGCCCTTCAGAACCCATTACTCTGCGGATCCGCAACATCCTTCGCGAGTACAGCCAGGATGCAGATATTTTCCAGGAACTGCTGCAGAATGCAGAAGATGCTGGTGCCCAGACGTGCCGCTTCTTAGTGGATCTCCGTCAGCATAATGGCACCACAGAAGGACTCTTGGACCCTGGCATGGCCGCCTGCCATGGCCCAGCGTTTTGGGCCCAGAACGACGCATTGTTCACTGAGTCAGATTTTACCAACATCATCCGGCTAGGTGCAGCCACCAAGGAACGGCAGAATAACAAGATTGGCCGCTTTGGGCTGGGTTTCTGCACCGTCTACCATGTGACTGATATACCTTCTCTCGTCAGTGGAGGCACCATGCTCATCTTTGACCCTAACGTAACCCACCTCCAAAAGCATATCCGTAGCTCAGCCCAGCCGGGCATCCGTTTGAATGTGACAGGGCCAGTGGTCACTGTGTTCCCTGAGCAATTTCGACCTTTCAGGGGAGTTTTTGGGTGCCAAGCTGGGGAGGCTTACCAAGGCACACTCATCCGCCTGCCCTTCCGCACGGAGCAGGAAGCAAAAGACTCTCGGATCTGCCCTGAGCCCTTTGGACCTGATCAAATCAAAGCGCTGCAAGCCAGTTTTCAAGAAGTGTACCAATACCTGCTGATCTTCCTATGCAAAGTGCGAGAGGTATCACTCTCCCAACTCCCAGTTGGTTCCACTTCCCCAGAAACTGCTGAACCATTGGCCAGAGTGATAAAGGAAGCACTTAACGAAATGGGTGGGCCCAATATTGTGCAACTGACAGCAATGTGGGGGTCAGATGTGGCTACTAACTATTACTTACTACACTCATGCTCGGCTAAGGGAGAAGCCCAGGAGATGTTTGAACAGGGGGGAGAAGAGGGTGTCCATTTCTCGCCTCCCATTGCTGATGTGGCCTTGCCCCTCTGCCCTGCCTCGACTGCTGGACAATGGGCCCCAGATGTAGATGGCTTTCAGGGCCGTGTCTTCTGCTTTCTGCCTCTCCCTATTGAATCCGGCCTCCCACTCCATCTCACAGCCCCTTTTGCTGTGCTTAGTAATCGCAAGGGACTTTGGGATGCCACAGAGAAGGGCAAGTGGAACCGGGCACTTCTTCGTGATTCAGTGCTGGGTGCTTGGCTTGGGGCATTGCCCCAACTCCGGGACATGTGCAAAGAAGGGCGGTTGGAGGACTATAAGTACTACACTTTTTGGCCTCATGTGTTGAGGGCCAAGCACCCTTTCAGTGAAACTGCCAAGGCCTTCTACCAAGTATTAGTTGATGGCGTTGATGGAAAGCAGCCAGTTCTGTTCTCCGATGGACAGAGATGGTGTTCAGCCAAGCATGCCTGTTTTCTGGATGCTGATGTTATCCTTGAGAAGCCGTTGAGTTCTATAGCTGCCAGGATCTTCTCTTCACTCTTGCGGGAACCACAGATTGCAGTGTCTCTTCCAAACTGGGTGAAGATGGGTTTTGAAACGTGTATCGGAACAGATGTGTTGTTGCCGAACACTTACAACTGGCCCCGATTCCTCAGGGAGCTTGTTTTACCAAACCTTGCTCAGCTACCAGTTCCTGATCGTGACACCCTGATTCTTCATGCACTAGATATGAATCACACCAGTGTGGATCAGATCCTGATTGCCCTGCCTTGCATTCCTACCACTCCTAATGGGCATTTGAAAAATATTAAAGGACTGGTGCACCCAAGAGGTTGCGTTGCACCTCTCTATACCCCTGAGGATGGCTGCTTCCCCATGGGAGAAAAGTTTCTGGAGCCAAAGAGACTGTTGCGCTTGGAGCATCTTGGTATGATCAAAGATGGGATAACAATTGAGGAACTGATAAGCCGAGCAAGAACTGTAGAAGCCTTATGGCATCAGGATCAACGCAAAGCCTGCCAGCGAGCCCACTGTATCTTAGGTCTCCTTGATGACCACATCCAAGAAAGTTGTAGCAATACAACTCAGGCCCGATTCAGAGACATCTGCTTTTTGCCAGCATTGCTTCCAGGTAACTGCCACAAACTCTGTCGTCCCAGTGAAATTTACGACTACAAGATGCATCCACTGGTGGGCTTGACTGAACCTGTCCTGGACAAGGAGGTTCTTAGTAAAAGTTTGAAACTCTCAAGTGAGCTGAAGGAGTTCTTAGGACTGAGTCGCCAGCCGCCAGTTGCTACAGTGCTGAGACAACTGGAGGCAGCGTCATGTAACTCCAATGCCCTGTCCAGGACAGAGCTAGTGAAGATAGCAAAATACTGCTATGCCTTCCTAAATAAAGAGGTGCAAAAGAACCCTCCATGCAAGGTAGAGATATCTCAAAGGGTTCAAACATTCCCTTTTGTCCTAGTGGGTACCGACTTTGTGCCTGTGCACAGAATGGCCTACAACTTGGCTTTTGATGGTGCTCCATACCTCTTCCACCTGCCCGAAGAGTACCAGGAGCAAAAGGAGCTGTGGAAGTGTGTGGATCTGCCCGACACTTTCAAAGTGGAAGACTATGTCACTGTGTTGCAAACTCTGGCCAAGAATGCAGCCGGAGAGTCTCTTCCCAAAGAACAGATGGATCTAGTAGTTAGGCTGATCACTGTTGGGATAGCTGAAGCCTTGCCAGAAGGTAAGCAGCTGAATTCGTATGAGACCCAGAGCATATTTTTCCCAGACCAAGACAAAGTCTTGCATCCAGTGCACAAAATGCACTTTGATGACACGCCCTGGCTGCCACGTGAGAATGGGACACTACTCTGCCACACCTCAATCCCACGGGAAATTGCCATACGCTGCGGTATCCCCACCACAAAGCACCGTGTTTTGTCACGCCGGAGGATTCATGGTCTTTCTGCCTGGGCTACAGATTTTGGAGCAAAAGAAGATCTCTGTACTCGAATAGCCAACATCCTCCGTGAAAACTCTTCTTCACGGGATGTGTTGAAGGAGATGCTGCAGAATGCAGATGATGCTGGTGCAAGTATTGTCCATTTTCTTTGGGATCAGCGTCAACACCCGACTGATCGCATCTTTAGCGATGAGTGGAAGGCTCTTCAAGGACCAGCGCTTTGCATCTACAATGACCAGACATTCCAGATGAGTGACATTGAAGGGATCCAGCGCTTGGGCTGTGGTAGCAAAGGTGGGAGGCTGGATGCAACTGGCAAGTATGGCCTGGGCTTCAACACAGTTTTCTACTTGACTGACTGTCCTGCTTTTGTGACAGGCAACAGTGCTCTATGTGTCTTTGACCCCACATTACATTACCTCCCCATTTCTGATGAGTTCTCACCTGGTGGAATGTTCAGCCTCACTAAAGATTTCAAAGAAACATTTCGTGATGTTTATGATGCCTTTGTGCCTGGTGTATTCGACCTGGAACATGGCACACTTTTCCGATTACCCTTACGAACACCTGATGGTGCAGCCTCTTCCCGTATCTGCCAGTCCTTTGTGTCTGAGGCAGACATGGAAAAGATGGTGTCAGCTCTCAGAGAGGAAGCAGACTGCCTTCTGATGTTCCTCAACCATGTTCATTCTATAGTTTTCTCTGTGATAAGCAAGGAGAGCGGGGCACCAAAGAAGGTGCTGCAGGTGGAGATGAAAGGTGGTGAGACTAAAAGACTGGAATATCAAAAACATCTCCAACAGATGGCTGCAACGGATGGCATGGATGGGAGCAAGCCAACAAGAGTGTTCTACAAAATGCAGGTGATCAACAGCATCTCCGGTGCTTTTAGCAGCTGGCTGGTTGGGAGACAGATTGGGATGAAGAGCACAGATACCACAGAGGGCTTGCTGCTGCCACATGGTAGTGTGGCTGCTTGTCTTGATGGACAACCACCTGGCAGGGCCTTTTGTACACTTCCTCTGCCAGTGAGCACAGGCTTGCCTGTCCACATCAATGGGAACTTTGCAGTGGATTCAGCTCGACAGGACTTAAGGAAGGATGACCATACCAATGTGACATGGAATCGCTCACTGCTTCGGTGTCTTGTGGCCCCTTTGTATTGTCACCTACTTGAAAAGCTACGCTGTGCACTGGGGGATGTGCCACTGCAGTTCGATTCCTTGAGGAGATGCCAGCAAAGCCTAAATTCAAAGTATCTTCAGTATTTCCCATTAGTGACAAAGGATGTTCCCCCACTTTGGCAGGAGCTGGTGACCCATGTGTATGAACTGGCATATGAAAGGCAACTTCCATTGGTCCCAGTGTACCAGAAGCAGATTAAGTTTATTGGTGGACATATGATAGAATCTGTGAGTGTGGATTGGAGTGCACCAAAAATTGGCTGCCCAGTTAGAGATCCCTATTTCCTGCAGTCTGAGATAGAAGATGAACTCTTTGAGGTGACTCTCCAGAATCTGGGCATGCGCTTAGTCCCTGCCTTTCAGCACCTGGAGGAGATCCGCAACCAATTTGTCAATGCAGGAATTAGTGTCCTAACTCTTGATTCTTCTTCTCTTTGCTGCTTCATGAAGAATCTGCCTACCTTCTACCTGCCATGTCCAATTAATCAAACACTGGTGAAGGACACTTGCAGATGTTTTGCCCTTCTGGACTTCTGCCTTAGCAAACTTCCTTCTGAGAGGACAGATTGTGTGGAAGGTCTCCCTTTACTGGTGACGAAGGATAACATGCTGAGGTGCTTCAGTCAGCAGGCCCCTGTATACTGCAGCAGCGCTTCTCAACTTTTCCCACACCATCAGGACCGTTTTTTTGACTGCTTCACTCACAGTCTGGTCACTTCGCAGTTAGTAAGGATGGGCTTCCTAAAAGATTTTGCCCTTTCTGATTCAGTGTTGTACATCAGAGAGATGCTGGCACGGGATAGCTGGGTTGATGACTCTAAACGCCAGATTTGGCTACGTGAAGTGTGGGTTTTCTTGGAGGCACAGATTTGCAACTTAAAGGATCAGGACACAATGAAACAGAAGTTTGAAGAGCTAATCTCCTTTTTCAAAGACTGTGCTGTGCTCCCTGTGTGTGGCAAAAGTAAGTTTTTGGTTCCTCTTGCATCCCTCAGCAAGATTGTTCCTTACAGTTCAAGTGAAGTTCCCAAAATCCTGCAAAAGCTGGGTTTTAGCATGCTAGATATATCCCTTCTGCCTCCAAATCTCACTGTATACTGTATTAATCCACATTTGTTGCAGACCGAGAACCCTGCTTCAGTTTTGGAGCAACTGGCTGCCCACAGTAATCCCTGTTGGAAGCTACTTTACAAGTGGGAGTTGAATGCACTTTTGAGATTCTTGACAGGCGATCTGCAGGCTTTGGTGAAGGACCGTGAATCACTTGCTAAGTTGAAAGCCTTGCCTCTATTTGAGACTCATCAAGGAAAGCATGTTCCACTGACCTCATATAAACACATATATTGCCTTCAGTCAAAGATTTCAGAGGAGTCCAAGGCCCTTAAGAAGCTTTATGAGGTGGACGAGAAGACGGTTTTTCTCAGTGACAGTCAATTGAACAAACGCCTCAGTAAGCATTTGGGTATTGATGTACTGAATGATTTTCAGCAGTTTGTCCAGCAGCTTTTGCCTCTATTATCCTCTCTCCCTGAGGCACGTGTATTAGAGGCTGTGAAATTACTCCTCATCCTCAAGAAACATTATTATCAAGACTATGAGGCTGGAAAAAAGATTGTGCTGTCAACGTTCCGCTCTTTGGCCTTCATCCGAGACAAGCAGGATGTGCCACGTCAAGTATCCTACTTCTATGATGAGGATGAAATGCTTTCCCTGTTGGGACTGAGTTTTCGGTTTGTGCCAAACGAGTTCTATGAATCTGTGCGTACAATGAGAGATGGGCCAAAGGAAAAAGTCCTATTTAGTAGATGGGAGGTAAAAGAATTCTTAATCAATTTGGGCCTGCAGAAGGATATATCTGAGGAAGACTTTTTGAAATGTGCTACCCAAGTTGAAAGAGAAGCACTGAGAGATGGTGCTACATCCAATGATCTCCCTAAAAGAAGAGAAGAACTTTGGAAACACCTCCTTTCCAGATCAAATGAAACGCTTTCAGATGCCTTCCTGGAAAAAGTGGCCAAGGTCCGTTTCCTAGTGTCACAATCCATAGCTGATGATCTGTGTTGTCTTCATCCACCCTGTGTCCCACATGACACCCCTGTTGCACCTCAAGGTTCTCTATATACTCCACACTGTGTTGAATTATCCTGGACCTCAGCAGTTACTCTGCCTTCTGTTTTATCCTGGACCTCAGCAATTACTCTGCCTTCTGTTTTACATGCTAGAGAAGACATTCTGAAACGACTTGGAGTGTTGTGCACCTTGCCAGCTCATTTGGTCTTGAAAAATCTGAGCAATGTGTGTCAAGTGTCATGTAATACCTTGAAGACCAAGAAAACTAGAACAAAGGTCCTAATATCAATTTATACGTTCCTGTCAGGACAGAGAAAATTAGAAACCGCCTGCCTGGAAGGACTGCCTGTAGTTCTAGTGGGAAATGATGAGATAGCAGAGGCTAAAAATGTGGTGGTCTCCTTAAAATGTGCAGATGACTTCCGGCCATACCTCTACAAGCTGCCCGCAAAGATGATTGCCTATCTGGATCTCCTGGAGAAAATTGGTGTGCAAGCAGAGCCAAGCATCTATCATTATGCCAGCATTTTAGCCAGGATTCATGATGAGACAGCAGAGCGGAACACACTTCATGCCAACCTCACTAAAGCTGTGCTCAGGGCCACTCAGTTCCTCTTCCAGCTCCTAGATGAATCGGAGGAGCCTGCAGATCTCTCCAAATTGAAAGAATTGTACTTGCCTTGCACTGATGGGAAGCTGTACCCTTCAAACACTCTAGTATTTAGTTTGTACTCCTCCCACCGAAAAGGTGACCTGCAGAGCACTTTCCACTTTCTGGTGGATCTTTCAGTGTGCCACCTACCTTGTGATCCGTATCAGCAGTTGGCGCTTCTGCACCTTTTGCCCGAGGCTTTGAGACCCAAGAACCTGTCTGACCTAACTAGGGAGGAGCTGGAGATGCCCAGTCTAAAACTGTGCCATTATGGAGAACACTGCGAGTTCCAGAACTACCTCAAAGAGCTACTCCATTCTCCTGAGTTCCAGTGGGCTCTGACTGCGCTGCTGAAATGGCAGGCCAGAACAAAGCCAGGAGAAGTAGAGAAAGTGGAATGCGTGTGTGATGATCTCCTCTCACCTGAACAGCTAGATGTGGTTTGTTGCGAGCAGATCTGTACCATAATGGTGTACAATTCAAAGGTTTTGGAGGGGACCAAGTGTGTCAGGTCAGTCCACGTTGAAACACTGCCGGATGGCAAACGAAGGATTTACCTTGCACACCAGGAAAGTATGGATTCAGTAGTGATTGTGGAGGTCTCTGACATCTTGGCCATAGAAGTAAACAAACTTTTGGGAGAAAGACTTCATGGTGATGCCATGACGGTCCTCAGGCAAATTTTGGCTTGCCAGAATCCTTGCAGAATTGCAAAAGTACTAGAGAAGAATCGAGTGCCCCTACATGAACTCACGAAAGAAAATGCGTATGATCTGCCACCCCCTGGAGAGGACATCCCTGAGGAATGGTATGACAGCCTGGACATGAGCATTCTTCATACTTTTAAGCCAGGAGATTATGTGGCTTACCTGGTCTCTTCCGAGCCCAGAGAGCATTATTGTTATGCTGTTGTCCTGGAAGCCCTTGGGCCACAGCAGAGTGGTAGTGGCCAAATAGATACATACCGTGTTGATTTGGGAGGGCAGCAAGCAGATCTCAGCGCCCATGACCTTTACCACTTCCGAAAGAACAACCCAGTCCCTGACCGGAAGAAATCTGTGGTCCCGGTGGGAAATTCTCCAGGTCACAGCAGCCCTGCAACACCAGGTGTGAGTGGCGAATGGTACCAGCGGCCTCTGGACGAAGTGAGGAAAGAAGTAGATGCCTGCCTGGCTGAAATTTGGAATTTGTCACAGGAAGAAGGAAGAAAGGCCATAAGAAGACTTTATCTTTGTTACCACCCAGACAAAAACGTAGGTCAAGAAGCTTCTGCCAACGAACTCTTCAAGTACCTTCAGGAGAAGATCAAGGAGAGAGAGAAAAGGGAGAGGCCTGAAGGGTCACCTCAGAGAAGTGGTTCTTGCAACAGAAGCTACTGGAACTTTTCAGAGTGTTGGGATGAATGGGATCAGCAAGCTCAGTGGCATCGTCGGAGGCGGCAGGAATTCACCAGGCAAAGAGGTGGTGGTGGTGGTGGTGGTGGTGGTGGAGGAGGAGGAGGAGGAGGAGGAAGACACGGGAACTACAACTTCTGGTCATTCCATCAGAGGAGCCCAGGTTATTCAAGGTATCAGTCAAGGCATCTGTGCCTGAAGGAAGCCAAGCGCTGGCTACGACAAGCAGAATGTGATCTGCAGGCAGCGGGAGGTGATGCCGGAAATGGTAGGACTGAATGGCTACTTTACAAGACATACCAGGCCATTGAGAAAGCTCTGACAGCAGTTGAGTACAGCAAGGGAGGACGTTTTGACAAAAGCTTGTCTCTTGAAATGCTGGCTGGTAAGGTCTCATCCTATGGAGATGAGCTGGTGAAGTTGCCTGACCAGATAGCTGAGCTCCGGAATCATGGCCTGGACAACAAGACCACCCAGTATCCCAGCTACCACGATTTACCCATTATTCCCAATGAAGCCTTCCCTGCATGCAAGGAGCAGGATGTGTTGCTCTTAGCTCAGGAGATCCTAAGCACTGTTAAGATATGGATTGGCCTCTAAAGAAAGCTGAGGGGTTTTTGCTTCAAAAATCTAAGGCAGATAGTTTGCATTTAGTACAGCTGTACCTGTAATGAAAAGCTGAGGTTGGACATTTTGAAACAGGAAGGACTTAATGGACATCAAAGCCAATGTTTAAAAAAAATTAAGCAACACATTTCTAGCTTTGAATTTTGTCTAAATCCCTGGTGTATCTTGGCTCCAAAGCTTTAGAATCTTCCCTACATATAGAGGGCTTATTGTTGAATGTCTGAGGATGCTCAAGAATTCTCTCACTGAGATACATGTTTTCTTACAGGGAAAGCACATGTATAAATAGAATTCTTAAGGGTAAATGTTGATATACTTTAGCAAACCCTCATACTGATTGATGTCAGTACTTAGTATTTGGAAGATGCATGTTAATACTAACCTTGATAGTGAGACTAGATCACTGGTTCTCAACCTTGGCTTACTCAGGAGTTGTGGACTGCAACTCCCAGAAGCCTTCACCACCAACTGCTGGCTGGGGTTTCTGGGAGTTGCAGTTCAAAAACATCCGAGTAACAAAGGTTGGGAACCTAGGGACTAGATAACCATTCCTGAGGACGGCTTCTTTGATACTTTGTGTTTTGTGACATTCTGCATTAATAAACTTTTTTGTATCAGGAAATGAGGAGACTGGTTGTATGTTTATGTGGGATGAGGAGAAAAAGAAAATTAATGTTTTATGAAAAGGAAATGGTGCCCTTCCTGAACATGACTATATTTTTAAATTTCTGCATATATGGTTCTTCTTAGCAATTATAGCTCATTGATTGGAACAATGGCCATGAATTCGAATCTCCATTTTGGCCCAGAAGAGAGGGACCACTTGAGATCAGTCAGAGCATGATTAGTCAGAGCTGATGGAGTTACTTGCCTGCTAGATGGGGATCAGGGCAAGCTGCACGGTCCTGGAGCACCACAGAAGGAGGGATTGAAAAATCCCTTTGAAAATTTTATACATAGAAAATTCAGAGGGCTCATCATAAGTCAGAATTTACTTTAGGCCATGCAATTATGTATTAGGGCTCCTCTACCCTGCCCATATGTTTTAGTGATCCATTCTTTAATTCTCAATCCCACAAGCACAACAAATACAGTAGGTCGTGTTCTCCCAGATGTCTCTTGAATCCAGAACTTAATGTTGCCTCTTATTCTCACTTGAGCTTTGCTTCAAATGTGTACCCTAGTCCTTCATTCTCAGGGTGACCAGAAATAGTTAAGAAACCAAAACTCCTGCATTATTGAGAGTTTACAAGGGAGGTTTGTGTAATAAATATTGTGTTGTTGTTGTTTAGTCATTAAGTTGTTTCTGACTCTTCGTGACCCCATGGACCAGAGCACACCAGGCCCTCCTGTCTTCCACTGCCTCCTGGAGGTGGGTCAAATTCACGCTGGTAGCTTCGATGACACTGTCCAATCATCGTGTCCTCTGTCATCCCCTTCTCCTCTTGCCTTCATACTTTCCCAACATCAGGGGCTTTTCCAGGGAGTCTTCTCCTCTCATGAGATGGCCAAAATATTGGAGCCTCAGCTTCAGGATCTGTTCTTCCAGTGAAATTGTGTAGAAGGGACTTTTGGCAAATGTGGCATGTCATGTCACCTGCTACAAACAAGATATTCCATCATCCATACAACTAAACTACCTCCTACTCTGGATACTGCTTCACTGAATGAGTAGGTACTGGTTGCTTCTGCCTTGTTAACTAATCAAAATTTTTAATTCTAGTTCTGTAGACAAACTTCTTGCAAGCCCTTGAGTAATGTTATTGGCTATCTATAGATCCTATCTCTGTAAGCAAGAATGTTGAAACTGTGAGGCTGCCTTTCTTTGGGTACATCATGAGAAGGTATGTTTCTCTAGAAAAGATTATAATGCTGGGAAAGATGGAAGGCAGCAGAAAAAGAGGAAGACCAAATAAAAGGTGGACTGATTTCCAAAAGGAAACTACAGGCTTGAGTTTACAAGAGCTGAGCAGGACAGGTGAAGATAGGGTGTTTTGGAGACTGCTCATTCATAGAAGTTACTTGACACCACAAAACAGCAATAGATCTCGCAGGGATTCTGGCTATAAGCCTGCTTCTCCACTGAACTCACACCTTGAGATATTTTTTGCTCTTTATTATCTACTTCATGGGCAATTTTATCTCCTACCATCATGAATCCTTTTTATTCTTCAATTTCATCTGGGAAATGGAGTGGGGTTCGTGGGATCTATTCAAATAAAGTGGTTAAGCCTTGTTCTTCAGTATATAATGCCCTGCTTCATGTTGATTCAATACCATTTTAATGGGATACTTTCTTGACCAATGAAGTAACAATTCAAAAACAAAAGGCTAATTATTTTGATATAAATATATGGCAAGCATTACTTCTGAAGGTGCATACCTCTTTGCATACATTACAGCAGAAGAAGGAAAAAGCTAGGTTTGTGAGATCTACTGTACCATTTTCCCTAAAACCCTGAGACCCCACTAAACAGAACTTGGTACAAAACTGTGGGTAGGAACAGGGTATGTACCTTCTCCCAACAGGTGGACTTCAGGTGTGCTAGACCAGTGGTTCTTAACCTTTGTTACTCAGGTGTTTTTGAACTGCAACTCCCAGAAACCCCAGCCAGCAGAGCTGATGGTGAAGGCTTCTGGGAGTTGCAGTACAAAAACATCTGAGTAACAAAGGTTAAGAACCAGTGTGCTAGACTACAATTGGCATTCCTCAACAATGATGAGAGTGCTGCAGGTCACCCATATAAAGATAATTATGTGCCATCAAGTTGATTCCAACTTATGAGAACCCTTTCCAGAGTTTTCAACATGGCCATCAAGTTGATTCCAACTTACAGTATGACAACCCTTTCCAGAGTTTTTGACATATAGAATACTCCGAAGAGGTTTACCATTCCTTTCTGAAGTTGTCCTGTCACTCTGCAGTTTACCTAAGGCTATACAGGTGAGCTCTTCTCTCAGGAAACACAGTAGGAATCAATTGCCAATGAGTGACCCAGCCAGCAAAGATGCTTAACTGAAAAAGAATTTTGAATCCAAAATTATTTTTCACATAAAATGTCCTGTGCTTTTGCCCTGTACTGAGAATAGCAGCTTAATAAAGGAGCCATCAGAAGAAAGACCTGTTTTCTGGTAGATCTCTAAAACCTTGCAGGAGATCAACAAGACCTCCTGATTTCCCATTGTTTAACAGACTCGGACTCTGGAGAGCAGGGTCTGAGTCCCCGCTTGGCCAAGAAAACTCACCGGAGGAGTCGAACTGGTAAAACTACTCCTTAAATATTTCACTTACCTTGAAAGTCCTATTAAAGTCACCATAAGTCAGTAGCGGCACAGAGCAAGACCACAACAGTTGGAAAATAAGTCATCCAACATTCTGTTGCTGGAATTTGAAAAACAGGGGTAACTAGGAGTGGATTTTTTTGTGGAAGATCATTCAGTTCCATGCAGTTCCACTGCTTGAACCAAGTCCCTCTGTTTTGGAAAGAAATTGCCTTTAAAGATAGTCTTGGAGTTCTAGTAAAAACACTATTTGATCTCAGAAGCCTGCAGCCTGCACATCGTATCAGCATTACAATGAGTCAAGGCAAATTAATCATTTTTGTTTGTTTCTGTTGTATTAAATATATTTATTACCACCTTCTGAGACTCCTTCTCTTGGTCCATACGGAATAAACACAGCTAAATACATATACATGCATACTTTTTTAAGCTCATGGGAAGGGTACACAAATGACTAGTCATGCAGGAATGTCCTTTCAATTTTTGCATGGCCATTTGCTGAAAGTTTAATTTGGTCTCTGCTATCAGCTCGGACTACAGAATTAAAAGACACAAAATATTTTGGATCAATTAACCTAGGTCCAAAGGGGTATTTCATTCATTCATTCATTTCAGAGCATTGCACAATTGTGGATGTATATGAAATATAAGTAAAATTAGACAGACAGTTTTGCTACACACACAAACACTGGTTTTGCTATGGTCTTGCATTTTTTAAAAAATTGCAGAAAGTGCTGTTGCAAACAGTAGATAAACATATGAATCTTCTCAGATTTACCTAAACTGAAGCATTTGTTTAATAGCTTTCTGGTATCTTAGGGAAAGAAGGGAGGCAGAATTGAGGAAGCCAGCAAGAGTTCAAATGGAGAGCTGAATTATATTGTTTGGGATATTATTTTGTTTTAAATGGGACTATCACGGTCACTCATGAACTGGATTATATTGACATTCAGCAAAACGAACAGCCATTTGGATTCAAATGTAAACCATTTTCATCACCCCCTGTCCACCTCATCTGAAGTATGCAGATACAGAGGCTAATTCAATAAAAAGCAAAATTGAAAGGAAAAAAAAAATAAAACAAAAAGGAAAGCAAAACTGAAAAAAAGCAAAACTGAAAGGGGAAGAAAATGAAATGAAAAAGACAAAAACCTTGTGGCATCTTAAAAGACTGTTATATTTTTATGTGAGCTTTCATGGACAAATCCACATCTTCAGACATATGAGGTAAAATGCACATATATCTGAAGAAGTGGACTTGTCCACAAAAGCTCACATGAAAATATAACAGTCTTTTAAGATGCCACAAGGTTTTGGTCTTTTTAATTATTATTTTTCTTTGGGTTTTGTGTGATATACTTGCACAGACTAATACGGATACCTCTTTCAGTGCTTCAGTAAAGCACCTGAGGATAGATTACTAGCAAAATGGATGCAAAGTAATGCTGATGGGTAATTTTTCTGACTGAAATATTCTAACCTCATTTTCATTAACTGTTGCTAACGTTATTTCCTTGGATGGTGGGCCTTGCAGACCTTGAACTGTGCATCAGGCTGCAATGCCAGGGAAGAGGAGCTTCACCTGTTGCATTTCTGCCTGCTCTTGCTGGCGCTAAGACCTCAAAATCTGTGATGGGGCAATACCACTTAGCGTTTTCTACTTATTTTTCAAAAGATTCCCTTTTGCCCTGGCTAATGATACCACGCTCTTGAGAATCTCAGCCTTTTGGGCTTACAGTTAATACAGCACTTTTCTGATCACTCTTTGCTATGGTATCTTTAAAAAGATAAAGACACCTAGTTTAAAAAAAGAAAAGAAAAAGAAAAAAATTGGCACCCCCTATAGTGCAAATAAAAAGGGACGCTGGCTAAACCGCAGAAGCCTCTGCGCTACAAGGTCAGAAGACCAGCAATCGTAAGATCGAATCCACGTGATGGAGTGAGCTCCCATCACTTGTCCCAGCTCCTGCCAACCTAGTGGTTCAAAAGCATGGAAAAATGCGAGTAGATAAATATGTACCACCATAGTGGGACGGTAACGGCGTGCTGGGTCTAGTTGCACTAGCCACATGACCACGGAAACGGTCTTCGGACAAACGCTGACTCTATGGCTTGGAGATGGAGATGAGCACCGCGCCCTAGAGTCGGACCCCACTGGACTAAATGTCAAGGGGAACCATTACATTAAAATAAAAAAACCTTTACCAATAGTGCAAAGAAGAGACCTTTAACCTCCTTTGCCCTTATTAAATATGGTGGGCCAATGTTCATAGCTTCGGAGCTGCCCTAGTAACAACGAAAATGGCGTCGTCAGTTCTTTGGTTAGAGAGATGAGCGCTTATTAACCTTTCCCTTGCCAGCAGTAAAGATGGCGCCCATAAATTCGTTGCCGTTCTCCCTTTCTGAAAAGTAAACTTTCCTCCAATCGAACTGTAACCACTCTTATTGATTTGGTATGAACTTCGTTAATCCAAAAGCGAGAATCCATCTGATGCGGGGTAAATGACACACCTTCCTTCACCTCAAGTGCCCAAACTAAAAATGGCGTTTAGTGGAGACGCTAAGCCATTCCTTATGTGCCCACAGTAAAAATGGCGAGGACGTGACCGTTTTAACTCCTCCCCGTCCTTGCCCACAGAAAAGATGGGGGCGGAGTGGGGGGTGGGGTGTCCTGTTAACTTCCACAGGGAGTGGATTTGAGGTGGAGGGAGCAGGCTGTCGCAAGAGGTCAGCCCCTCACCCCACCTGCCTAGTTGCGGCTCTGGGGGTGAGTGGGGAGGCGTTGCCCCTTCCTCTGAAGAAGTGACTCCCCTCCCCTAAAATGTCGGCACCTCTAAGAAGTTGTGAGTACCGGAGGGAAGGGGAAGGCACGAGGGGATTTGGGAGAGATTCTCCTCAGACTGGAAGAGGGGCAGGGGACGGAGAGGGAGGCAGACCCACTTACCCAGCCCCCCGTCCCAGTATCCGCACACTTACTCAGTACAGTATATAGGATATTTGTGTGCGCCAGGTGGGCCAAGCAGGAGAGAGAGACAGAGACAAGAGACAGAGACAGTGAGAGAGTGGCAGAGGCCATGAAGGGGTGGGGGCGCGGGCGCTCAGGACGCCTGGGTTCTTTAGACACAGCTCAGACTTTCTGGAGTCATAGTATGGAAACGCTAGAAACAAGGACTCCTGGGTTCTTTTAACAGTGTCTGCACAGGACCACTTGATGCAAGTTAAAACTCCATACGAAGGTGAATATAAAAGTGCCATCTCAGTATGAAATTTTAAATTTATTTTGCATCGACACAGACGATCCCTGCTTTTGCTGATGCAAGCGATACCTTTACCTCATTTTAACCCCTCGTCTTGTAGTTAAGAGGAGCAAATGAATGGGTATCTTCGATAATGCACGATTGTGGGTGATGTAGCAAAGAATCGCTACTTGCCATGATCTCAGAACTTGAGCTGTGGTTGTTATTCTGGATTAACATGCAATAATATAAAGATGTGGTCTTGTTAGACAGCAAAGGTGAGGAATGAAATTGTAAGGGATATGCTACGTGTTCTGCGTTGATGTGAAATTTACCCCTCCCTACAGAATGCAGAAGTATGCATTATCTAAAATATTTTTCTGCCCAGTTATCCTACAAGGGAAGTAAAGTGGGTTTACAGTCAACTATCAAAAAATGACAGCATCATAAGAGTAAAAAAAAATCAGCCAAAGCATTTATATAGGTGTAGTTTTCAAATAATGTGCTATTTGAGTTCTATTGCCACCCAGAGTAGACCATTGGTCTAGATGAGCGGGGGATAAATCTAATTAATTAAATAAATAAAATAAAATCATTTTCCCTCCTTATTTTACTATGTATCCGTTGTGGTGTTGTGACAGATCATGACTCCAGAGGCCTGGGTTTGAATCAGCCACAGAAACTCACTGGGGTGTGGAACTGGTAAAACCACTCCTTAAATATCTTGCTTACCTTGAAAACACTATTGGGGGCTGGGTTTGAATCAGCCACAGAAACTCACTGGGGTGTGGAACTGGTAAAACCACTCCTTAAATATCTCGCTTACCTTGAAAACATTATTGGGGGCACTGTAAGTCAGTCCTGACTTGACAGCACATGACAACAAATAGTCTGGACAAGGAAGTACCATAAAAGTTTCTGAGCATGTCATATTGTTCAGTAGTACTGCTTCATAAACTTGTGTCCCCAGAACAACAAAGAAGGAAAACTCCTTAAAGTTATGGGGCTAAGACTATGGCCAAGAATCTCAGGCCAAAGATGCCATCAAAGAGTATTTCAAGGGCTAGAAATTAAAAAAAAAAGCATCCTCAGATGTCATTGGACTGTAACTCCAAGAATTTCTGACAGTTCATCCCTACCCGTTTGTTTTGGAATGGGGTACAATAAGACCCAAGATGGGAGCTCAAACCAGGCTTTTCCTTTTATGACTGACTAAGACAAGATAGAAACTCTGAAGATATCCCATATCCAGTCCCAATACTGTCTGGTATCTAATACTATATTATAGGTTTGCAAAGATCTGAGAATTCTGAAAAACCTTTGACATAATTCCCATTTCTAGAACCATATCTTAACCAAAACATTGTGAGTTGCTTTGGATTTGATGTGCGCCTGGGATATACCTTTCTGTGGACTGAATGATTCTGCTCATAGTAGCTTTGCCCACTGATTTTTAGGTATCCTGTCCTCCTCTTATACCACTGCTCACCCCAATCGGTAAGATTTCCCCATCCTCTGTGTAAAATTGCAGGGAACTAAAGGTGCTGCTGGATAATGCTGGGAAAGGTGGAAGACAGCAGGAAAAGAGGAAGACAAATTATGAGATAGACTGACTTCCTAAAGGAAGCCAGAGGCTTGAGTTTACAAGAGCTGAGTAGGGTGGTTGAGGACAGGACATTTTGGAGAGCTAATTCATAGTGTTGCCATAAGTTGGAAGCACCCTGATGGCACATAACAACAACAACACTAGTTACTGGAGGCTTCCTATTACCCTTCTCTCGGAGTTCTTTGTTCTCTCGGCATCCCCTGGCCAGGTGTGGAGAACCTTAGACATTGCACCCAAATCTGGCCCTCTGTACTTGTCTAGATATTCATGTCCCCTTCCCCGTGACACAGTCATTTTGTGGTTTTTCAAGCTTTGTATTTTTTTTCCACATTCTAGTTCATTGAAATCACTCTCTTTAAGCTCAGTATTGTCAGTAAAGGGTTTGAAGCTAGAAATGGTATTTTTTTAATTTCATTCTTTTGCCGTTAGCCTTCCCTCGCTCTGGAATACACCAAGAATTTCTCGGGAATTGAATTTGTCCCTTGGACAGAAAATGGTTTCTTACTCTTGCAGTAAATGAGCCTCTCAAAATCCAGAGGTTGTGGCTTATTCTGGGGAGGGAAGTTATAAATATTGAGGATTTGGGATTCATTGGTTTTGGGGTCCTCTTTAGTGCTCTGATTCCCTTGTTTCCTTTTTCTGCTCCTTAGAGGCACTGCTGGGTAGATGGAGAACTGTGAGGAAGAATGGCCAGAAGGCCAGTGCTCCCTGGAGGCCTCCGGTGACATTCAGGCTGAGACTGGAACTGTGGAAGAGTGCACCATACTCTACTCGGATGCTGAGGATGATCATTCGCTCTTGACAGACAATGGTGGCGGTGCCCGGGCCCCATTCCACTGTTCCGAGTGTGACAAGAGCTTCCGCTACCGCTCGGATCTGCGGCGCCATTTTGCTCGACACACCGAGCTGAAGCCTTTCCAGTGCCCTCACTGTGTCAAGAGCTTCAAGCATTCATTTAACCTCGTGAATCACATCCGGAGCCACACTGGGGAGCGCCCCTACCGCTGCACCATGTGCCCAAAAGGTTTCCGGGACTCGACGGGCCTCCTCCACCACCAGGTGGTGCACACTGGGGAGAAGCCCTACTGCTGCCATGTCTGTGAACTCCGCTTCTCCTCCCGTAGCAGCTTGGGCCGCCACCTCAAGCGACAGCACCGCGCTTCTCCCGCTGCCTCAGCCCCTCAAACCCCTGCCCCTCGCTGCCTAGCTTGTGGTAAAGAGCAAAGTCCTCTGGGGCACCTCTGCAGTGCTGGGCGGGGCCGGGCTGCCCCTTTTGGCTGTGGGGCCTGCGGACGGCATTTCCAGCTGGCGTCAGAACTGCGCCGTCATTGGCTGGCCCATACTGACATCAAGCCTTTCAAATGCCCAGAATGCGAAAGGGATTTTAATGCTGCATCTCTGTTGGAGCGCCACAAGCTCACTCATGCTAAGGACCGGCCCCCACCATGTCCAGTTTGCGCTGAGAAGGCCCAGCAGGGTGACGGGGTGCCAGAGTCGCCATGCCTGGAAGAAGAGCAAAAGGAGGGGGAGCAGGAAGGAGATGCCCAGCAGCATAGCCGGAACTGCCCAAATGGCCAACCTCCAGATGCTCGCCCCCCAGAGACTCTGTATCAGTGTGAGTGTGGGACCTTTTTTGCCAATGGCAACACCCTTGCTGCTCACTTGACCGCCCACGGAGGAGAGCCTTCCTTTACTTGTGGCATCTGTGGCCAACCCTTTGTGAACTTGCAGGCCCTGGAGGAGCATCAGCTGAGCCACGCTGTTTCTTCTTCACCTGTGCCAGGCCCAGGAAGTGAGCTGGAACGCCACCTTTTGCCCCAGCTGGATCTCCGGACATTTCCAGCCCGTCCTGGCAAGAAACTCTACAAGTGCAGCGAGTGTGAGAAGTACTTCCGCAGCCCCCGAGATCTAGACCGTCACGTGTTGGTGCACACTGGGGAGAAACCCTACCAGTGCACTGAGTGTGGCAAATTCTTCCGGCATGAGTGCTACCTGAAGCGGCACCGGCTGCTGCATAGCGGCGAGCGCCCTTTCAAGTGCACTGTCTGCCACAAAGGCTTCATCACGTTAAGCAACCTCTCCCGCCATCTCAAGCTGCACCGCGGGATTGACTAGCAAGGGGGAACCCACATCTCCGTATAATAAAGGTGCCCCTCTCCCAGCACTGTTTTCCTCTACCTCCACCCCACCATGACAGCCAGAGGTTGATCTGGTCTGGAAGATGAGGCTAGAAATTGATTGGACCTCAGTCTTCCTCTTAGTCCACTCATTTAGGGCAAGGACTTGCAACTTTGAATTGAATTTATGAAAAAGTATTATGATGATGAATATGATTATTATTTACTAATGTTCCACTACTGTTAATAGAGTGTTGCACATATTCAGCAGTTATAATGTCTTGGGAGTGGGCTAGGACTACCCAGGTAGGTGTATTTGGATCAGTAGTAAGGCATCCTGGTTTCAAACCCATACTATTTCAAGGCAGAATGGAGTTGTACCAGGAAATGCATCCTTTAAGCTATGCCTGTTGCTTCCAGAAGGTATCTATATTTAAATGCACCTAACTGCTGAAATGACTTTTTCCCAAATAGCTGTAATTCAAAAATAGAAAACTTCGGAGACTTTAGGGGCCATTTCCCACCAGCCAGGTTTCACCAATGGGCGCATCAACTCTTCCAGTGGAAACAGAAGTGACTGGTCCCTGTTTTCTTTTTCTTTTTAATCATTTGGGAGGTGGGCTAAAACAAGATGCAGAGGCATACCTTGTTTAATGGAGCCACAATCCTTCCTTTTTTACAAAAAGAAATCAAAGATGAGGGGAGTGATAGGCCCATCAACTATACCATTCCCACCTCTTCTGTAACTGCTCAGTAGTTTCCAGGTATGAGCCAGTTTTCCCAGTGATCATGTAAGATTCCAGACAATATGAGGCTAGCCACAGAACTAGGACACCTATTGCCAACTCAACACTTTCTGGTTGTTAGCATGGAGGAACTCGGCATCCTTTGCTTGGGAAAACTTCGACCATTCAGATGTTTTGGCTCATTGGCTGCATTCAACACCCAGTTTTAAGGAATTTTGGTAATTGTATTTTGCAGAACACTTCTGTCCTTTTTCTTCAGTCTTTCTGTTACTGAACAAAAGTGACCTTGGCTATATGAGCTTTCTGCCTTTCCCTCCAAACCAAAAGGCACACTGTCACAAAAAGCAATGGGTGTAGTGGTTAGGGCTTTTGCTGTCCAATGGGCTACTCCTATTCTGTGGGAGGGGGTAAATTAAATATAAGAGAAACTGTTTCCCATAGCTTATTCAGGACAAGCTGGGACAATGAAGCTACTTTAAAATCCAATTAAACGTAGCATTATACCTGTTATTTATAGGGAGCCACACGATTTAGAAAACTGTGTTCGATAACATAATAGTCCTATTCCTAAAGGTGAAAAAAAGAGATTATCTCTTAAAACACATACACACAAAATTGTGTTAAAAATCACAAGATTTAATTACAAAAGGGGAGACATTTCTAGTTGTTTTGTGGTTTCTTAGCATTGGTTTAAAGGCTATAGTTTTATTTCCAGTAATTTTCTTTGCAGTCATGAGGATTAGCAATTTAATTTTTTCAAAAAAAAAAAAAAAGGTTCTGCAGTCATGTTTGGCTGATGACAAGGTAGAACAACACATTGCCTTGAAGACAATGTGCTATTGCAGGTTGCTTTGCAGGCAGGTCAATCTGAGGTTAAGAAAGGTCTTGCACGGCTTTTATCTGTAGGCTTTTTAATACTGTTAAACACTTGATATAAGAGGAGGGTTGTTTTCTTGACCTGATACTTGTTTTGATGCTGCTTCCTTTCCTCTGACCTCTTATTACAACACTTTTTTCCTCTCTTTTTAAAAATTGTCAAGCAGAAGTATGTTTGTTTTGAGCATATTTACAATTTATTTCTAAAAACTGGTTGAATCTTAAAAGAATTTATTTGGATGTTAAGACTAAGCACTAGAATAAGTTTGATAAGGCAACACTGAAGAATGTATTTCAGCGCCTGGAAATATCAAACCCATTTCTCTGTCAAGCCTGACTGTCTGGGATCTGGAGTAGGAATTGCAGGAGAGGTTTTTCTGTTGGCCTAAGTTTATGTGTCCATGTTTCCAAGTTCATGCAGGATTAGCAACATCTCAGGAAGATTTATGTCGTTTGAGAGCACAAAAACTACACATTGTCATATAAGCAACCAGGGAAGAAACTGAAAAAAAAATTGCATGTTTTATGAGAAAAATTAGCATGTGATGGTGATGAGTTTTTCAGATCCACACATGGAAAAGAAAAACAGTCCTGTTGACCTTGCTTCATTCTCCATTGCCTGTTGATGCTATCCTGATGGACAGATTGGTTCTGATATGCTCTATTAATTTAGGTATTGGTAAAGAGATCTGCTTTCCCTCCTCCCTGCCCTGAAATTATTTACTGGCAAATAGAAGAGTCTTATTCTCCTTTTGTTTTGTTTTGTTTAAACCCTTCATAGGTCCTTGAAATAATCTAATAAAAGTATGTTCCTGACCAAATTCCAGTTCTTTATCTTTTGAGGAATAGAAGACTTCTGGCTAGGCATCAGTACAGGTACACAGCAATGGTTTCCAACCTCAGGTCCCCAGATGTTCTTGGACTGCAACTCTCAGAAATCCTGGCCAGCACAACTAGGGGTGAAGGCTTCTGGGACTTGCAGTTCTAAGAACATCTGGGGACCCAAGGTTGGAAACCACTGATCTACAGCATGTGCTTGCCTGTATGTGCCTGTGTTATAAAGAGGAAGGCAATAAAGAGCAAGTTCAGGTATGGTGGCTTCTCATATCTAAGGCACTGACCTTCCTGGGGCTGAAAAGAGACAGGCCTTTCTCTTCAACATATCCCAGTTTGAAGGACTCCAGCTGATGACTTTTGAAAACAGAGAACTATAAGTAGAAGGAAGCCTGGGGTCTTAAGGTTGCAGCATCTAGATGTAGGTGGAGCAGGCAGGCAAGAAGGCTTGGAAAGTATTACCTGCTGTGGGTGGGGAATTGGATATAAAGCGCTTTAATTTAAATTACAGTAAATAAGTCTACATTTTAATGTATACATAAGAAGTGAGAGCCAGTGTGGACAGAGTGACAGACCAGGACCTCAGCCATCCAGGTTTGCTTCATTTTTATAAGATGGTTGTCTCTCTCCCTTGCCATCACGTTTGCTTGATTTTTAAAGGTACTGTACCTTATTGCTGGAATGCCACAAGGGGCAGAAAGGCGACTTCCTCAACCCAGAGCGCCTTCGGGTATGCTAGAGAGTACCCGCATCCTGGGCAGTAAAGTCATCCTGGCTGGCTGAGAAGGGGTAAAAGGTGTAGCCCAACACCTCCGGAGGACACCAGCTCGGAGAAGGCCGGCCTAGACTTATGGGCCCAAGGTTGGGGACCAATGTGCTAGAGAGTACCTGCATCCTGGGCAGTAAAGTCATCCTGGCTGGCTGAGAAGGGGTAAAAGGTGTAGCCCAACACCTCCGGAGGACACCAGCTCGGAGAAGGCCGGCCTAGACTTATGTGCAAATTGGGGGTGCAGGTTGATCTTAAGATGTGCCGGCACAGCGGGAGACACGCTAATTCGGAGTGATCTCGGCGGCGGCGGCGGCGGCGGCATTCTCCTGTGCAGACTGCCCAGTGAGGGCATGACAGGGAGGTCTCAAGCCGGCCCTCCCCCTTGGCTGCTTGGGCGCTGCCACCGGGGGTGCTGTAGGAAATAAGATACCTCGTTAAAGTAATATTTTGCAACTGTGAAATATTACAGTCTGAAATAAGTAGAAGAAGAATATCAGCTTCCTTTGATAACTAGTGGAGAAACTAGAGTTAGGTGAATCAACCCCTTTTTGTCCCACTCACACCAGAAATAGACATTATAAAGAGGTGGGAAATGGAAAAAGGAAATCCATAATCAATGTGAATGCCTGAGAGTCTTAGAATGACCTTCTTTGGCCTGTAGGGTTATGTAGATTAGCTTGCTTTGTAGTGGTTGGTCTTCAGGATTTAAAAGGTATGACTTCACAAACATGGAAACATCCCTCCCTCCGAGCCTGAGAGGAAGGAAAGATCCAGCCTGCCCCCCCTTTTTTTCTCTCGCTACCCGGCCGTCTTCACGAGGCACACGCTTTGCCGGGGCGGTGCGTGTTTTCGAAGGGCGCCAATCTCTCCGAATAGACCTCTCCACCCCCCCCGCCTGCCCGGCCCCGCCGCCTTCTCCCAGAGAGCCTTTTCTGGATCCCACCCCCCTTCCAGAGAGACACGGCCAGAAGTCCGGACTGTTTCAGTTTCAGCGCCTGCTCCCACGCGGTGGAACTCCCTTCCACAAGAGTTCCCTCCTGGCCTTCCTGGGCTGAAAAGAGACAGGCCTTTCTCTTCCGTCAGGCTTGCGGCCATTTGAGCTGCAGAGTTTTTAAGGAAGGGTTACAAGCTGCCCTTGTTTTAAAACAACTTTTAAGAGAGAGAGAGTTGCAGATAGGAGGTAGCTGGTTTTTGTTTGTTTAAATCATTTTAAGTTGAATGGGCTTTTAATTTTATGTTTCACAGATTTAAATTTATCTTATTTTGCCTGGTCATTTTTAACCCATCTGGAGTCCCTGAACTAGTGGGGTAAGGTAAGATATAAATGAGGAGAGGAGGGAGAAATTAATTCATTCATACAACCCTGTCCTTTTAGGCTGCCAGCCCTACACTTTTCTCATCGAACCAAGAGTCCTGCTCTGTGTAGCCCGGTTTCCCAAATACTGTACTTTAAACCAGGAGCTTGGGTTTCAGACAGCTTCCACTTCAGTCCTCAGAAATGTGGAGCAATGGTCAGAAATTCCGAGAAAGCCAAATCAGCGGAGGAACCGAAGAGTGAAATCCACTATACTAGACGAAACACCTTCAGAGTTCCTTCCAACTCTATAATTCTCTTTTGTGGAAGAAATAACTGCAGTGCAAGACACCACTAACATATCCGTATTATATAATTGTATTTATTTATTAAATTTATATACTTCCCATCTAGTGACATGCACTATTCTGTGCAGTTTACAACATTATAATAAACATAGCTTCCACTTCTCTGAGCAGGCAAAGATAGTGTCATTATTTCACTTTCAGTGGAAAGCAAATAAATAAACAAAGTTGGCGCTGTTCAAGCATATTTGCATAGAAAGGACATCTGAAATTCTGTGGCTTCTTGTTGGTTTTTGTGATCCACAGACCACTTCATTAGATGCATGGAATGATATTACTGTGCACTTGGTTGGTTGGAGGAAATGCAAACAGTGAAGTCAGAAGAAATTGAAATTCAGGAAACAGAAACAGAGGCTTAAAACCACACTTCGTCCCAGCTCTAGAGCAAACCCACTGCAATGGGTAGGTTAATCACCACTTACAAAATTCTAGCATACCTAGTGAGTGTAATTTAGTGATTTAGTTTAGTGACACTCCTAAATAACTGCTAGTAACTGCTGGAAAATGTCAAGTAATTAACAGGAATTACTTGAATATTAAACAACAACAACGACAACAACAACAACAATCATGCCTTCCAGGACAGGAAAATATTCTTCATAAATGGCTATTTAATAAATTTTGGGCAAGTGATGCTTGCAAATGGTTTGAACAGAGAAGGAAAATGCAGGGAATGAATCTAACACTAAAATAAATAAATAACATAATTCAAACATGGTATTTGCACTTTTCCCCCCAAGATATTCCACCATACATGGGGATGGGTAGTGGTGATCTGAGATCACCATTACCACTTTTATATATTGTGTCCTGGAGATAGAGATAGAGTCTCCTCTGATGCATTCCCACCTGTCTCACTCAATTTTAACCAGCTACACACACTCTCATCCTACCCTAGAGATGGAAAATTAAACTTGTTTCTCCGTTTTTACTAAAATTCAATAGCTGAAAACAACAGCTGGTACATTAATTGGTTCAAAACTGGGAAAGGAGTATGACAAGGCTGTATATTGCCTCCCTGCTTATTTAACTTATATGCAAAATACATCATGCAAAAGGCTGGACTGGAGGAATCCCAAACCGGAATTAAGATTGCCAGAAGAAATATAAACAGCCTCAGATATGCAGATGATACCACTCTGATGGCAGAGAGTGAGGAGGAATTAAGGAACTTCGTAATGAGGGTGAAAGAGGAGAGCACAAAAATGGTTTGAAGCTCAACATAAAAAATACAAACAAAAAACAAAAAACACTAAGATCATGGCCACTGGCCCCATCGCCTCCTGGCAAATCGAAGGGGAAGATATGGAAGCAGTGGCAGATTTTACCTTCTTGGGCTCCATGATCACTGCAGATGGTGACAGCAGCCATGAAATTAAAAGAAGAGAAGACTCCCTGGAAAAGATCCTGATGTTGGGAAAGTGTGAAGGTAAGAGGAGAGGGGGACAACAGAGGATGAGATGTCTGGACAGTGTTATCAAAGCTAGCAACATGAATTTGACTCAACTCTGGGAGGCAGTAGAAGACAGGAGGTCCTGGCGTGCTCTGGTCCATGGGGTCACATAGAGTGAGACACAACTTAATGACTAAACAATAACAATGATTTTTCAGGATGCTCGTAATATAAGCCCTACCCCAAAAATAAGCCCCAGTTAAGTGAAAGCCCGCCCTCCACCATTGTGCAGCAACCAGAAGATATGACTGTAAAATAAAACATCCCCTGTAAATAAGCCCCAATATGTTTTTGGAGCAAAAATTAATATAAGACCCTGTCTTATTTTTGGGGAAACACAGTATAGCCAGTGCCCATGCTAGTAATTATAGTAATTCTGGGAGGTGTAGTTCAAAAAATGTATAGTTCTGCTTCCTAGTGTCTTCTCACTAAAGAGGCAGCATGTCATTAAATCCAAAACAGACATATGGACAGAAATGGACTCTTTCCAGAGGTATAGACACCCCTAGGTAAAGGTAAAGGTTCCCTTTGACATTTTTTAGTCAGTCGTGTTCGACTCTAGGGGGCGGTGCTCATCCCCGTTTCCAAGCCATAGAGCCAGCGTTTGTCCGAAGACAGTTTCCGTTGTTACGTGGCCAGCGCGACTTAGACCCGGAACGCTGTTTACCTTTCTACCGAAATGGTACCCATTTATCTACTTGCATTTGCATACTTTCGAACTGCTAGGTTGGCAAGGAGCTGGGACAAAGCGACAGGCACTCACTCCGTCATGTGGATTTGATCTTACTACTGCTGGTCTTCTGACCCTGCAGCACACAAAGGCTTCTGCGGTTTAGCCTGCAGCGTCACCACGTCCCTATATAGACACCACTGGATGACCCCAATTTAAAAAAAAATACTCAGAAAGTCTCCTTCTGGGAACATGGGGCATGTAGGCAATTTTGCCATGTTTTACCTGCTCTCATTCTACTTTAGGATTAGAAGGAGATTTCTTTCCTCCAAGTCTGAAATGACAGGATGCAATTCATCTGAACCAGCCATATCAAAAAGCTACAATTATGGTCAAATAACATTTAGGAATATTTTGAGTAAAGGATAAAATAGCTACCAACAAGCTAAGCTGGCCACCCTTATTCTCCTGGGGCAGAAATTAACTCCATTCTTTGTCCTTTATTTACCTCCACAAAAATTCAGTTGTCATTACAGATTTTTAAATGCTATTAAATAAGCAGATAAGTTTTAGAAGGAAGGAAGTAAGTTCTTCCTGTGGTAATCCTATGAATGAGTGACCTTCAAAATGTCCTGTCTTCATCAGCCCTGCTCAGCTCTTGTAAACCCAAGGCTGTGGCTTCCTTTAGCGAACTGATCCATCTTGTATTTGGTCTTCCTCTTTTCCTGCTGCCTTCCACCTTTCCCAGCGTTATTGTCTTTTCCGGAGAATACTGCCTTCTCATCATGGGCCCAGGGGAGGACAGCCTCAGTGTCATTCTTTTTGCCTCCAGAGATAGGTCAGACTTGATCTGGGACCCACTTATTTGCCTTTCTGGCAGTCCAGAATATCCCCAAAGCTCTCCTCCAGCACCACTTTTCAAAACATATGTTTTTTTCCCCGTCAGCTTTCTTTATTATCCAGGTTTCGCACCCATACATGGTGATTGGAAATCTAATTGTGTGGATGATCCTGGTCTTCAGTGACATATCCTTGCACTTTGTGAACTTTTCAAGTTCCTTCCTTCCTTCCTTCCTTCCTTCCTTCATTTCAGGATCACTCTTGCTGCCCCTTCCGATTCTTACATGCCTTTACTACTCCACTAATTTTTTAAAAAAAGAGCTAGCTTTTGCCATCACTTTGTCTCCCTCAGGCTGTGCACCAAGGGTTTATGGATAGTGCCGAAAAAATAATAATAATATAAACGTCCCAAAAACTCATGGCACATGATTATGCCACCTCTGCTTCTTAAGGTGAGTTCAAACGCAGTCTGCAAATGCCTTTGGCGATCTGATTTCAAGCCCCACTTCACGTAGCAGCCGCCTGGATTTCTTATCCCAACAATTCAAATAAAAGATGCCCGCCAAATAAATGTGCATTTGTCCCCCATTTGAAGTGCAAGATTACCGTCTGGCCAGGAAAAAGGCAATAGAGAAAAGTCTCAAGAAATGGGATTACAATCGGGTCAAAATGTTCTGGATAACATTATGAATCTTCCTGGAAAGTCTGCTTGAACAGTAGTTGTTGAACTGCAGCCCACTGGCTATTCTAGCTGGGGCTTTTTTCATTTACTCTCCCCTGCAGAATGAAAGGTTAATCATCTGCTGAAAGCAGTAACAAGGATTCTGCAAACAGAAAAATAACGACAAAACCTACCCAGAGCCGGAAGGCTGACCTGGATTGCAGAATTCATAACAGCCAGCAGCCTGCAGGGCTTAGCGATTTCCCTAAGAACGCATGACTCTGTTTAAAGGAGAATGGTTACGTTAACCCAGCCAGGAGAAACAAATGAACAGGACATCTATCTGTGAAGATTCTCAGCCATCCAGGTGAGGTTATTTGGAAGTTGAGTCTGGACTTCTTTCTTATCCGGTTGAAACCTTTTGCTACGCATCCAAGTAGCTTTTTCTTTCTGGGGAGAGTCGGGAGGAAACCCCTGATATATCCTCCATCTTGGATTCATTTCCCCCTGGTCTGAATAGTAGTTATATGGACAATGGACAAGGGTGTATGTGAGTGAAAAAATCCCACCTCTTCAGTTCATCTCTACCCATTACCATGGGTTAACAGTGGTCTTTCTGGTGGGTGTGGCCCTGATCTTTCAGGGGATGATGAACGGGACAAAAGAGAGAGAAATTCCTAAGAAATATTTCACGATGAGGATCCTTCTCAAGTATTCCTCTCCTCTCCGATCTCTTTCCTGCCATGAGTCAGGAAAGAGATTGTACAGTACTTGATAAACCTGCTCTTTAAAAAATTCTGTAAAACGCAAAGGGGCTGTTCCTTTGCCTCGTTTCCAAAGGAGCCATTTCAGTCTGCTTCAGTTTTGTTGGCAAAATTTAAAGGGTGAGGGGGGGGGGAGAGAGAGAAAGAGGCACAATATTGTGGCATTTTAGAGACTAACAGAAAGCTCATACTAAAACAAATCTGTTAAGGGGGCCGAATATTTAGCTCTCTCCTCTTTTTCACCTTTAATTGTGCCAACAAGCCTCTGATATGCTCCTGTTTCAGCCCGTGAACACGCCTGCTCTCTCTGGAAAGAATGGAATGGGGTTTTCAGACTTCCTTCCAGGCATGTCTTAGAGCTAGGTAGTGTTCCAATTCTCTCTTCACTGCCTGTACAGTTAAACACGTTTTTATATATATACACACACTAAAAAAATGAATTATATTATTCTAAGACTACCAGACCAAATGATCTTGTGATCGTCGTCGTTTAGTCGTGTCCGACTCTTCGTGACCCCATGGACCAGAGCACGCCAGGCCCTCCTATCTTCTACTGCCTCCCGGAGTTGGGTCAAATTCATGTTGGTTGCTTCGCAGACACTGTCCATCTTGTGATACTTCTAACTTAAAAGTGACGATACTTTCCTTTGGCATATAGCAACCTGAATTTTGTACATAGGAGCAACTGGGTGGGTCCTCGGATTTTTTAAAGCTGCAAATGAACTCGTGCGCACAATTGTTGCAGTAAATTCCATAATCCGCTTTAGTCTAAAACGGCTATTTCGTCCAACCAAAAGTTCTCCGAAGTGTTTGAAGATCTACAGCTCTCTTTGGGCTCGTGCGATTTTGATGGAGAGCCAGCCGTAGGTTTTCTCTGCAAGGTATTTGAATCGTCCCGAGCTCTTATTGGACAATTTCCAACGAGCTCTGATTCGTCTGCTTTGGATGTCCTTTCACCTGATTGGTAGGAAAAGCTATGGGGCGTTCTGGGCATGAGAAGGCGAGGGGAAGGCGGGACGGCCGTATTCGCTTGGCGGTTTCCACTCTGGTCCGACCCTTAGACTATATAAACTCTGGTTTCTCTTCTACACTTCATTCTCTGCCGCTGTAGCCTCTTGTTTTGAGCTTCTTTGTTGCTTGGGCTGTAAAGATGTCTGGACGTGGCAAAGGAGGAAAAGGCTTGGGCAAAGGCGGTGCGAAGAGGCATCGGAAGGTTCTTCGGGATAACATCCAGGGAATCACCAAGCCTGCTATCCGTCGTTTGGCTCGTCGTGGGGGAGTGAAGCGCATCTCTGGCCTGATCTACGAGGAGACTCGAGGTGTGTTGAAGGTTTTCCTAGAAAACGTGATTCGTGATGCAGTTACCTACACCGAGCATGCCAAACGGAAGACCGTGACTGCCATGGATGTAGTCTATGCTTTAAAACGCCAGGGTCGTACCCTGTATGGTTTTGGCGGTTAAAAGTTCAGTCCAGGTCCTGCAGAGCTAAAAAAGAAAAAACAAAACCCAAAGGCCCTTTTCAGGGCCACCCACCTTTTTCTCAAAGAGAGCTGTTCTCTGATAAAGCAACATCTATAAATGGAAACAACTTATCTCTGGTTAGCCACGTTGTACTCCCATCAGTTACAAATTAAAAGTTGCAAAAATTCTCTTGAGCGCTGCCCAGTACTACATTATGAAGCAACGTGTAGGAAACCTTAACGGCTGCAATGCGACTGCTTGTGAGTGGTTTCTCTGTCATAATTATCCTGTCCTTTCGATCTCTTCTGAGGTAAAAAAAGCTATTAATGTTCCTTGAGCCATTCAAATCGTATGGCATGCATTTTGCATTTCCAGCTTTTCTATGTGTCGGTTTTTCTTCTATCTGGGTATGTGCTCCAATTTACTAAGAAGAAGAAACATGGCGTAAGGGTCGGTTTCCTCTCCCGCCCTGCTGGTCAGAGAACAAAGAAACCCTCCTGAGGAGAAAGAGGCGTGGTTCCACTTACCCGCCACAACCAGTGAACAGCGCGGGAAACTAAGAGTTACACTCTAACATACATTGCCACAAGATGGCAGCAGTTTGTCTTTAAACTCGTGGAGGGTGTGGTAATGGAAGATACAATGTTACTGAGGCGTTGCAATTTTCAGGTGGATGCTGTTTTGATCAAATGCTTTAAGAAATGGTTGTTGTAGGTTTTTTGGGCTCTTTGGCCCTGTTCTGAAGGTTGTTCTTCCTGATGTTTCGTCAGTCTCTGTGGCCGACATCTTCAGAGGACAAGAGTCAGAACCAGAGCATAGAAAGAGTTCCGACTCCAGGCCTCTGAAGATGCCGGCTACAGAGACTGGCGAAACGTCAGGAAGGACAACCTTCAGAACACGGCCAAAGAGCCTGAAAAGCCCACAACGACCATCAGATCCTGGCCGTGAAAGCCTTCACGAATACATTGAACACTAAGAAATGTTAATGTCCCTGCTGTGTGTGTTGTATTGGGTTTGTGTGTGGTGATTTGGCATAATGAGAAATCAGTGGGTCAAACCCAGGCTTGCTTAAAGTTATGTGCCATCAAACTGGAACCAATTTATAGCAACTTTAATGGGGATTTCAAGTTAACATATTTAAAGATTAGTGTTACCAGTTCCACATCCCCAGGAAGATTCTGTGGCTGAATAGGGATTCAAACCCAGGCCTCCTCAGTTTCCATCTGGTGCTCTGTTCACTACATCACACTGGGTAATCATACTTAAAAGAGAGCCACAGGACTTCTCTGCCAATAGCCTGGGAGCCATTCACCAAATCAACAGTTCTGGATTAGACAATGCCATTATTGCAGTTGTTCCCAACCCAGGTGGTCTTGGACTGCAACTCCCAGAAGTCTTAACCACTAGCTGCACTGCCTGGGGTTTCTGGGAGCTGCAGTCCAAGCACACCTGGGTTACCCAAGGTTGGGAACCACTGTTTTATTGGGTCATTAAAAAGCCCCCTCACTGGGCACTTTTAAAAACCAACTCAGGACCTGGCTATATAGACAGGCCTTCCCTCCGGGCACTACATAACTTTCTCTTTTTCTCTATATTTATCTACTTTGTTTTGTGTAAATGTTGTAAATTGTTATTTTACATTAATTGTTTTTATTCTGAGTTTTGTGAGCCGCTCAGAGTAAATTATGTCTAAATGGGCGGCATATAAGCTCAATAAATAAAAATAAGAAATAAGGCAAGCTTTTGGGTTCTACAGAATTCTTTATTAGGCAAAGATCAAGCAGAAATTCTTTAAAAAACTGGGCCAGAAATGATAGCCACGGCTCTTGCAAACTGCCAGGAAAGCAAAATGGAAGTTTCATATTCTACATGGGTCAGAAATATGGGGCTGTGATGGGTTGATAGGGCTGCACCTCACAGTAGTCCACCAGTTCATGCTACATTCTAACCAATAGTTTATGTGCTTAAACATGCGGACTGTTTATTTACTTATTTAAAATATCTATACCCCACCTTTGAGGACCCAATGTGGCTTACAATATTAAAGCGAACAGAATACAAATTGGAAGGGAGAAAACAGCAGGAACCCTTTTAGGCAGCCAGTTATTGAGAAAAATCTTTCCTGAAGGAAAGTCCTTGGCTGGCTTTGGAAAGAAAGCAAAGGGGGTGGGGTTGTGAGAAGGAGCTCCGCAGCTTGGGAGCAGTGGCAGAGAAAGTTGCCTTTTGGGTCTTTACCAAACACACCTGTAAGGGTGGCGGGATGGGTAAAAAGGTTTCCCCTGATGATTTCAAAGCATTGGCAAGCTCATAAAGGGAGATGCAATCTTTGATATCACTTGTGAAGATTCTCAGTCATTTGTGAAGATTCATCCAGTCATCAGACTGAAGAAGCTACTTGGATGAGTAGCGAAACATTTCACCCTAACCAAAAGAAATGTCCAGTTGCCAAGACTCAACTTCCAGATTTGATAGCACTTGGAATCAAGCTGTTTTATTTTATAGCCCAAAAGCAACACTTTGTGTTGTGCCCCAAAATGGATCAGCAACCAGTTGAAGCTTTTGTAACAGGTGAGTTACGTTATCCCTGTAATCAGTTCCACTTTTATAGATGGGTTGTGGTGTTTTGGATCTGCTCAAATTTCCCTATTCCATATACTGTATTCTTTGAAATGTTCTGTGTATGTTCTCAGGATGGTGGCTCTATAGGATCATATCTGTGGTGAAACCATCTATTTCGGACAACAACAAAATAGTGCCCTTTTGTCAACACTCACCAACTTGCAACTGCACATGAATCTCTTTGTTTGAGGACTTCATTGTTATAACCGTTTCCTCTAAATCAAGAGCAAAGCTCTTTACCCCTCATCATCACACCTATTAGCCAAAACTCAAAGAAGCCAATGCTAAGACAGATGCCTTTCCCTGGGCCCCAGCTTTCCATGACTGAAATGGAATCTGGTTCTGTTTAGATCACTGCATTACTACTCTGATGGCAGAAAGTGAGGAGGAATTAAAGAACCTTGTAATGAGAGTGAAAGAGGAGAGTGCAAAAAATGGTCTGAAACTCAACATCAAAAAAACTAAGATCATGGCCACTGGTCCCATCACCTCCTGGGAAATAGAAGGGGAAGATATGGAGGCAGTGTCAAATTTTATCTTCCTGGGCTCCATGATCACTGCAGATGGAGACAGCAGCCCTGAAATTAAAAGACGCCTTCTTCTTGGGAGGAAAGCGATGACAAATCTTGACAGCATCTTGAAAAGCAGAGACATCACCTTGCCAACAAAAGTTCGAATAGTCAAAGCTATGGTTTTTCCCGTCGTGGTGTATGGAAGTGAGAGCTGGACCATAAAGAAAGCTGACCGCCGAAGAATTGATGCCTTTGAATTGTGGTGCTGGAGGAGGCTCTTGAGAATCCCCTGGACTGCAAGGAGAACAAACCTATCAGTTGTAAAGGAAATCAACCCTGAGTGCTCACTGGAAGGACAGATCCTGAAGCTGAGGGTCCAGTACTTTGGCCATCTCATGAGAAGAAAAGAGTCCTTGGAAAAAACCTTGATGTTAGGAAGTTGTGACGGCAAGAGGAGAAGGGGACGACCGAGGATGAGATGGCTGGACTGTGTCTGCAGAGCAACCAACATGAATTTGACACAACTCCGGGAGGCAGTGGAAGATAGGAGGGCCTGGCGTGCTCTGGTCGATGGGGTCACGAAGAGTCGGACACGACTAAACGACTAAACGAAACGAC